TGCTCGGCTATTGTCAGGGAACTGACATCGGAGCTAGAGGCGGAGGGGAGGCTCTCAAATGATGCTGGAGAAGGGCCCAGCAGGGAGAGAGGCAGCTCAGCAGATGGGGAAGCAAATCAGCGCAACACCAGAGATAAAGGGGGGCAGATGGGGGAATCGGCGAGAGGGCTCCAGGACTCTTCACCGGACACCAGCGGGGAGAGCACGGGTCCTCCGCTACCCACGCCCTCCCTGCGCAGAAGGTTTCCGCGCAGGGAGAGTAGGAGGAGACTTGGCGTCAAACAACTTTTATGTTGGAAAAGGTTTAAGAAACGCCCACTGACGGATCCTGCTAGCGACTGAGGCAGCCACGAAGTGAAGGGCTGTCCAGACAGAAAGGTTTAAACAAGGCAACATAGCCAGGAGAGGCTGCAACTTACGCACGAGCAACCCATACTCATTACAGCTATGAGACCATATGTGCTTTCCTGAAGAAACCATTATGCAAACAAAATATGGCTTTGTGTGAATAATTTATTTCTCTCTATGTGTGTCCTATATGCATGTTGGATTAAGCAGTATATGAATCTATAAACTGTTATTATTATAACTGTTAATATTATTAATTAAATATACAGTGTGGTACCTCGGGTTACATACGCTTCAGATTACAGACTCTGCTAACCCGGAAACAGTACCTCGGGTTAAGAACTTTGCTTCAGGATGAGAACAGAAATCGTGCTCCGGTGGCACAGCAGCAGCTCGAGGCCCCATTAGCTAAAGTGGTGCTTCAGGTTAAGAACAGTTTCAGGTTAAGAACGGACCTTCAGAACGAATTAAGTACTTAACCCGAGGTACCACTGTACTGCACTTCATGGAAGGATCAAAGGGTGGTTCACAGCAAAAAAATACAAGATAAAAACCCAAAACACAATGAAAGCAAGAACACAAGAACAAAGCACACCAATAACACCTTTAAAAGATATAGAAATGTTTTTGCCTGGTGCCTACAGATACATATTATTAACTCTAATAATAATAATAATAATAATAATAATAATAATAATAATAATACATTTCTTAATCACCTTTCCCATAAGAACATAAAAAGGACCTGCTGGCTCAGCTGACAGCTCATCCAGTCTCCAACTTACCGCAGTGAATGCCATTATGGTAAGACAGTGAAGACCTCGAAGCTTCAATGGACTGTCAAATCCAGGTGGAATTTCACTCCTGGAAACATTATAGTAAATTGCCCAGGAGAGGAGAGCCAGGGAAGGAATCCCTATAACTCCATTCAACCCGAGCAGGAGGTTCTGAAAAAGCTCTATTTCTCTGTTCCAAAGAGTGAGATGCAAACATTGAGCCTAAACTGTCAGCATTTGCTGCTGTTTAACTCCACCAGTGGTATCTGTACACAGCCGGTTGTAGGTTGGTTGATGAACTATTTCCCAATTACAGCACAGACTTCCATGTAGATGTGATATCCATCAGAATACCAAGAACAATTTTATGGGTCTTGACGGTGGCAAAATTAGTGGTGCCCTATTTAGGAATTTCAAGTCCAGCTACCAAACCATCCAGCTCCAGGTAAAGCTTTTCAGTTTTACATAACCCGGGTGTTTGTTGACTGAAGTTCCAAACATCCCCACCCAGCTTAACCCAACAGTCAGGAATGGTGGGAGTTCTAGTCCAAGGTGGAAGAGGACTTGTGCGCACTTCCTGGCCCAAGATTTCCAAGGCTTCCAACATGAGTCCCATTCCTACCTAAGACCTTGGATATTCAAATCATGGGCTCTGGACTTCCAGTTTTACCACTGCCATTTGAAGGAGCGCAATATCAACTCTCCAGAGAGGTCCTGAGCTTTGAGAGGCAAAAAGAGGTTACGCTAGGGCAAAAGCGAGGTTATGTTAGGGGCTGGAGGTTTGTCTGTGTTCAGAGGCGTAGGGGGGAGCCCAGTATTCGTTGTGGACAAGAAAACAACGAATCAGCATCGCCTTGCAGTGGATTATCGCCTGTTGAACAAGATAACCGAACCCGTAGCCTTCCCCATGCCCAGAATTGACGATGTTTTGACACGTGTGAGGCAGGGGAAATTTTTACCAAACTGGACCTAAGGGGAGCATACAATCTGATTAGAGTGAGAGAGGGGGATGAATGGAAGACGACCATGTTCACCCCCCTGGGGGCGCTTGAGTATCTCGTCATGCCGTTTGGATTGCAATCGGGATCCGCCTGCTTTCAAGCCTTTATGCACCACTTGTTGGGGCCCCTGCTGTACAAGAATTGCGTGGCCTTTTTGGAGGACGTTTTGATCTTCCCTGAAAATGAAGCACAGCACGTGAAAGACGTCAGGCATGTGCTAGAGAGATTGAAGAAGCATCAGTTGTAGGTCAAGCTGGAGAAATGCCAATTCCATGCTCGAGAGGTGGAGTTCCTGGGGTACCGACTGTCAGACAAGGGGCTGGCCATGGACACGGAGAAGGTGAAAGCAGTGCTGGAATGGAAGAGTCCCAAAACAAAGAAGGATGTGCAGAGGTTTCTAGGTTTCAGCAACTTCTACAGGAAGTTCATCAAGAACTTTGCTCACTTGACAGCACCCATAACGGATTGTCTCTGCGGCAAGAAGAAGTTTGCGTGGACCAAGGAAGTGCAGCAGTGCTTTGAAAGGTTAAAGAAGGCTTTCACCTCTGAGGAGCAGCTCCTGCACGTGGATCCTGGGAAGCCACTGAGAGTGGAGACGGACGCTTCAGACCGGGCCATCGGAGCAGTACTGTTGCAACAAGGGTCAGGGGAGGACTGCAGAGCTTGTGTCAGAGCAACATTACAAGTCAGAGCAACATTACACTGTTTATGACAAAGAATTGCTGGCCATTTATGCGGCCTTTTGGCAGTAGACACACTTTTTGATTGGGGCGCAGCACCAGATCCAGGTCCGAACAGACCACAATAACCTGGAATACTGGCGGACAGCGCGTGTGCTCAACCAGAGACAGGTCCGGTGGCCGCAGACATTCTCACAGTATCACTTTGAGATACAATACGTACCTGGGGGGGAGGGGAATGTGAGGGTGGACGCACTTTCCAGAAAACCTGAGTATATGGAAGGCGAAGTACCTCCTGTGGCCAGCCCATGTTCCCAGAAGACTGATGGTCGTGTGGGGGAGCACTAGCAGGAGAGCAAGAACTGGTTGGGCTCACCAGACACGATGAGTTTGCTCCGACTAAATTAGGGAGCTCAGAGATGGAAAGGGGGGAAATGGGGGGATTGAGGAAAAGGAGGGCTCTTGTACTACAAAGGGGCACTGTATGCACCGGGAGAGGCATTGAGGGCCAAAATACTTAGGCAGCTCCATGACAACCCCACAGCCGGGCATTTTGACCAACTCCCTTCTCTTGCGGGGGCCCAAATAGTACCATTGCCTTCCGTTATGACTTTGGGTGTAATCCTTGACGCCTCCCTTTCCATGGAGGCACAAGTTACAGCAACAGCCAAGGCGACATTTTTCCACCTTCACCGCATCAAACAGTTGGTCCCTTACCTTTCCCGCCCCGACCTGGCCACAGTGATCCATGCGACGGTCATCTCCAGGCTTGACTACTGTAATTCGCTCTACGCGGGGCTGCCCTTGAAGCTGTCCCAGAAACTCCAGCGGGTACAGAGTGCTGCAGCGAGGCTCCTCACGGGGTCTCTGCCATGGGAGCATATTCACCCAGTGCTTTTCAAGCTGCACTGGCTCCCGGTGGAGTACAGGGTCAGATTTAAGGTGCTGCTTTTGACCTTTAAAGCCCTTCATGGCCTAGGACCCTCGTAACTACGGGATCGCCTCTCCTGGTATGCCCCACGGAGAGCCTCAAGGTCCATAAACAGCAACACCCTAGTGGTCCCGGGCCCTAAGGAAGTTAGATTAGCTTCAGTCAGAGCCAGGGCCTTTTCAACTCTGGCTCCGGCCTGGTAGAACACTCTGCCTCATGAGACCAGGGCCCTGCAGGATCTGATTTCTTTCCGCAGGGCCTGTAAGACAGAGTTGTTCCACCTGGCTTTTGGCTAGGAGCCAATTTGATTCCCTCCCTCCCTCTATTTCTTTTTTCTTTTCCTTCTCCTCCTGCGATGAGGCTACATTTTAATATTTTAAATATGTTTCAATATTTTAATGTTGTATTTTAATTTTGTTTTTAAGTTGTAATCATTCAACTTGTTTTTATTATTGCTTGTAAGCCGCTCTGAGCCTGGCCTTGGCTGGGGAGGGTGGGGTATAAATAAAAATTATTATTATTATTATTATCCATGCTACTAGTCACCAGACAGTTCTGGTGGCCCAAGGTGGCCCATTTTTGGAGGTTTACATCAATACAAATGACAGAATCGATAAAATATGTGAACCAATAGGCTTTCCTTTGATATATTTTTTAAGCAGAGGAATCTTCGAAAGTTGATCAAATCATAGATCTTATTCTAATTGCCTCTATTGAGTTTTTTGTAGTGTTTGCTGTCATCTTGGTATCCAGACCCAATCAGCCCAATCTCCTTCCTCTGCACAAATTCCAGCTTATCAATTATCCTAATTAAATTGTAGTGCCCAGAACTGGACACAGTTCTCCTGGTCAAGGCAAAATAGAGTGGAACTATTACTTCTCTTGATCCGGACACTATAATTCTGTTGATTCAGCCTAGAACAGCATTAGCAGTGCAAATCTCCAGCCAACTAATGTGTACTAAAGGGAAAATGGAAGAGGAAATGTCCGTAAAATGCATAGATTAGTGAAAATAATATAGAAATGACATATTAGAGCAAATTGTTTGTAATCCATATGAAGTAACCATGTTTCTTGGTGAAATTTCACACTAAAGTGCTGGTGAATTTTCATGAGGAATTCCCCGCTGCCCCCAAGAACCACATATTTCTACAGAATCATGGAGAACTGAACAGAAGATTGTGAAAATCAGAAACCATCAGAAGCTGACGTTGGCAGATTCTCCCCTCTTTATGAATGACTCACAAATTCAAGAGATTTCCTCTCATAAGTTTTTGACAAAGTCTACGATGCTGTCCATTAATTCAACTGCACCAGGGAATGCAAAGATGCATCCTTTGAAGAAGTTTATCATCCCATGAAACCCGTTCTCAACATGGAACCAGCTGACTTTCACCCCATTGTCCTCCAGACGTTTCTTGTACAGCAGTGCGTCATCTCGTACTACATCGTACTCGCAGCTCACAATTAGGGTTTCAGGAAGCTTCTGGATGACAGAGTCCTCAGCAAAAAGGCAAGAAAAATCGGCTTCTAATGTCTCTGACAATTGCCTATAGACTTCAGGTTCATAAGGAGCAAGTGGGACTTGTTTGTAGCCTCTCCCCTTAAATCTCTCTGGAAGGTTGTCTGGACTCAACCACTTCCCATATTTCAGCCTCATTGAATCTGGCACATGAGAGCCCTTCAGGACCTGGCCTAACAAAGAAGGGTCCTTTCCAATATACTTCAATCCAAAGTAAGCAACGTTTTCCCGGAACAGGATGGGCATTGAACTGTTCTGCTGATAGGAAGGCAGGTTGAGGTCCATAGCCTGTGTATAAGGATAGATGATCACTTGAGCCCGTAGCTTTGGAAGGTCTGATCTGTCCACCAATTTCTGGGCAACAATACAAGCATAATTGCCCCCTGCACTGTCCCCACCAACGATGATCTTGGAAGGATCCACCCCATGGGAAGCTGCATTTTGAATTAAGTGTATGGTAGCAGCAAGGCAGTCCTTGTACTGAGCGGGAGGAAGATGCTGAGGAGACAGGCGGTAGCTGTAGAATAAAACAGAATCAAAGAGGTAAACTTCCAGAATCTTTTCCAAACACATTCATGATCACATAGAATTACAAGAAGAGCCTGCTGGATCAGTTATAGCAGATATAATGCAGGTGAAAGTCAGCTGGCTTATGCCCTTAAAAAACTGACTTTACCAGCTAGCAAAAGAGTGTAGGGAACGCTGGGGAAGCGGAACCCTGCAGGATTGGATCCAGCTGGTGGAAGACCATTTGCCACTTGCAACTTTCCCTCGTCCCTCTGTTTAGATGCAGGGGGCGTTTCCCAGTCTCTTCCTGATTATATGTTTAAAAGCCCTAACTGAACATTAGCCCCACTCCCTGATTGATTCCAGGCTGGATCTGGGTTGGGTGGTCTCCAAGTTGAGGCTGATCTGGAGGCCCTGGTTAGCGGTGCTTTGCAAGGCCTTATGCCCAGTTCATAGTCCCCCCCCACGGAAGCGAGCGTGTTCATGTCTTAAGCACATGAAGCTCTGATTTTCAATCATAGAACAGAATGTTGACAGCTTTCATGGGAAGTCTCTTTCTCCTTCAGGGAATATGGCAAGGGATTCCAGTCTGAAATACAGCAGCATGCTGGGCCCCTACACACTTTCCCTATGAAAGGCCATGGGGTTGTCTTTACATACCCTACAGACACAACCACTGAATCAGTCTCCTTGGCAATCTTGCTGCAGACATCTTCGTAGAATGCTAGCAAGTTGGGAAGGAAATTCAAAATTGGGAAGCAATTATGTGGAAAATATACTTAACGAAAGGAAGCTGTTTCACAACCCAGGGGTGATGCATTCACAGAAGACCCACTGAAATGCATGGACATAAGTCACAGCAGAACCCGAAGGATGACACCTTTGGCTTCCATTGCTCTACATCAGGGGTCAGCAACCTGACCGAATGGAATGAACGAATTCCTATGCCCCACAAATAACCTAGAGATGCATTTTAAATAAAAGGACACATTCTACTCATGTAAAAACACGCTGATTCCCAGACCGTCAATGGGCCGGATTGAGAAGGTGATTGGGCCGCATCCGGCCCACAGGCCTTAGTTTGCTTACCCCTGCTCTACATGCTGTGAGACTGCAACTCCCAGGAGTCACAGGCAGGGATGTCAAACTTACCTTCAGTTCTCTATCCGCCCAGGGTTTCTAGCGACTGCTAAGCAGAAGCACTGCTGCCTCCAATCTTGCCATTTTTGCAAAGTAATCTTCCCTTTCATACAATATTGGTACATGCGATATTCACTGACATAAGCCTTTTTATGCACCGTGCAAATTCCATTTCTAGAGTGCTGTGTTGTGAGTGTCAGAGACTGACTTTGGGTTCACAAATTGCTTCCCAAACTGCAAATTAAATAGGTTCGCATATAAAAACAAATTGAACAAAATTACAACCTCCCACCCCCCTCCCCCAGACACAAACAAATCTTCAGCTTAAGAGATATGGGGCATGGCGTCGGGGATCCAGCAGGGTCAGACGCTTGGGAGTGGTCTGATCCTGAGAATGAGACATTGCAGCCTCAGGCAAGGCAAGGGTGGGTTTACTTAGCCCCCCTTCCTTCTCAGTCTTATGAAGCCAGCAGAGTAACAAAGGCAGGGAGTTACATACTCTTCAGGTTACATACGCTTCAGGTTACAGACTCCGCTAACCCAGAAATAGTGCTTCAGGTTAAGACCTTTGCTTCAGGATGAGAACAGAAATTGTGCTCCAGCGGTGCGGCAGCAGCGGGAGTCCCCATTAGCTAAAGTGGTGCTTCAGGTTAAGAACAGTTTCAGGTTAAGAACTGACCTCCAAGGTACCACTGTATATACATGTTTGTGAACCTCTTTGAGGTTCTATGAAATCAAGTGTTTTAGGAAATGAATGAGTCAGTATCAGCAGTGGGGGGCATCTGTCACTCCCCCAGGGGCTGCTTGCTGGAGTGCAGCTCCCCAGATCCCTGACCACTGACAACTAGAGATGTAGGATCTGGGAAGCCATGACAACAAGAGGGTCCATGTCTATAAATTAACATAAGCAAATCCAAAGCACATGTGTGCCCCTTGTCTCTTCAGGAACTTCCACCAACACTCTTGTATTTCAGCCCTGTAAACCTCTCTTCCAATGATATCTGAAGCACTTCTACCCAGAAAGGAGATTCCAACTAAACATTAGGAACACCTTTCTGATGGTAAGAGTTGTTCGACAGGGAACCGCCTCCCTTGGGAGGTGGCGGGCTCTCTTTGACTGGAGGTTTGACAATAGAGGTTTCACACCATTTCTAGGATTCTACATGGGCTTATTGAGTTCAATGGGAATTGCCACTAGATAAGTGTTCATAGGCTCACAGTTTTAATCTCTTACCGATGCTTCCAGTCATCCCAGCACCTCCATGGAAGAACACAAATCCTTTCCTTGGGCTAGCAGATGGTGTTTTGGGCTGATAAACCCTCACAGGCACCCCGTCGAAATGCAGATCTTTGGAAGAGAGGCTGGGATCTGCTCTTGGATTCCAGAAATTCATGAGGAAGCAGATAACAGCAACCTGTCTGCAGACACCCAGCACCTCAAGACACTTCCCCTGTTGGGCAAAGGAAAAGTCTCATGAAAATAGTGCCCACATTTGCATCCTATTCACAAGTGGTATCCAAATAAGTCCTATTTAAAGTAGACCCATGGAAATGAATGAGCACATGTTAGCCAAGTCGATTAATTTCAATTGGTCAGCTTAGAATTGGTCACCCCAACCTAAACACCCGCCAAAGTACAGAGGCAAAAGAAGCTGGGAAACAAGCTAAGCTTTAGAGAAACAATCCACAATCTCCTTGCTAACCTAAGAGACCATATTGCTGAAGAAACCATGTTGTAAAGAAAACATGGCTTTGTGTGAATACTTTATTTCTCTCTATGTGTGTCTTTCTATAGGCTGAAAGGAAGCCCTTGTTGAATGTGATAATATCTTCATAGCATCATCATCAAGTGAATTCATTATGCATGTTGGATTAAGCAGTATTTGAATAACCTAAATATATAAACTGTTATTATTAATTAAATATACTGCCCTTTATGAAATGATTTCAGGGTGGTTCACAGCAAAAAAAATTAAGATAAAAACCCAAAATACATAATGAAAACAAGAACAAAGCAAACCAATAACACCTTTAAAAGATATAGAAATGTTTTTTGCCTGGTGCCAACAGATACGTATTATTAAATCTAATAATAATAATAATGATAATAATACATTTCTTAATCACCTTTCCCATAAGAACATAAGAAGGACCTGCTGGCTCAACTAATGACTCATCCAGTCCCCAACTTACCACAGTGAATGCCATTATGGCAAGACAGTGAAGACCTCGAAGCTTTAATGGACTGTCAAATCCAGGTGGAATTTCACTCTTGGAAAGATCATAGTAAATCGCCCAGGAGAGAAGAGACAGGAAAGGAATCCCTATAACTCCAGTCAACGCCAGCAGCAGGCTCTGAAGAAGCTCCATTTCTCAATTCCAAAGACTGAGATGCAAACACTGAGCCTAAACTGTCAGCATTTGCTGCTGTTTAACTCCACCAGTGGTATTTATACACAGCTGGTTGTAGGTTGGTTGATGAACACATCAATTACCAATTGCAACACAGACTTCCATGTAGATGTGATATCCATTAGAATACCAACAGCAATTTCTCATCATGGTGTGTGGATTGCGGAGGTGTTTGGTGTGGGGTTTTTTTCTTCTCCCTCCTTAATATCAACAATTGGTTCCTCATGCCAAGCCTCATTACGAACTTAAATTGCTTTTTTTAAAAAATGAGTACAGATGGACTTTTATTTACAACTGGGATTGTAATTCCAAGTCTTTTTTAAAAAAGACTTGGAATGCTTGTTAAAAATAGGAGAACAAAGGAATAAAATGGAGCTCCCTTACTACTCAGTTCTGGAAAATTTGAAATCCTCCGCTGTTTAAGGGAAACAGGAATTAATTGTTGGTTGACTACAACGGTTTGAGACAATATTTTGGACAATACACAGTGCAGCTGTTTGCAAAAGATTTTCTTCATTATGAGCGCGAGAAAAGGCTAAATGGCTGTCTAGCAGCCCCCCTCTAGGGCCTGGAGGGGGGATTGGGTGGTTTCCAGGAAGGCTGATCAATCGCCAAATGACCGATATATTGCAATACAGCAAACAGTCTGCTTAATAAATATGAAGAATAATTCAATAAGGTAGAAGGTACTGTATTTCTAAATCTTAAAAGGAAGGTTTCGACAACAGCCTGGACGGGAAGGATTAATGATTTGGAGGTTGCCAAGACATTAAACTTCAGAGAGTTGGATAACACCCCGGATTGGAATGGAGCCAGATGAAGCAACGCTAGGAAAAAAAACAGTTGAAAAGGTACATTACACAAACAAATCTGCATTCGTGGGATGAAAGGTTAAATGATTTCTGACATGATTGAGGATCGCAGAGCCAGAGACAAAGAAGTTCAGAGAGTTAAAATCGAGATGTGGAAATATGGAAATATCAACGAGAGGCAGGTCTGAGATTTGGACATGCTCAAGGTTCAGACTATAAGAAGCCGTAAAATTAAAAATTACAATTCGGAAGATAATTCAACCTCTTGTTTTATTTTAGTTTTTTATTTATATTGGATTAAGATTTGATATGTTAATTGGATGTCTTTTATTGGAAAATTAATAAATGATCTAACAAAAAAACCCAAAATTTCTTTTGACCCAAAGTGCTCAGCAAAAAAAAATAATTAAAATTTACACCGAGTTTTTAAGTATTCTGCCCACATTTCCCAATCTTCTTTAAAATCAGTCTTTCTGATCTCTGATTTTGCACGTCAAACTTGCCAATTCAACATATTCTATCAATTTCAGCTGCCCTTTTATTTTTTGGTAGGTACTACCTCATATCACCATTTCTGTGCATCTGATTTTCATTCTGCCATTGTTGCATAAGGACATAGATTTAACTGGGTTTGGGGGGATATCTGCTCCAGTTATCCCTAGTATAAAAGTTTCCTGCCAACAAAATCTATCCAAATCACCAGTCATTTGAAAACTAGGAAGTTAAATAAAACATTAACATCAGGGAGCATCTTTCATGTGGTTAATGAGTATATTTTGCAAAATTACAAAGAACATGCCTTTTTTTATCTTTCTTTTTTTAAATAATAATAAAAAAACATTCTTTCTCAAATTCCTCCTTTCTTTCCTATGCACTTTTGTGTGTACACTCTGTAAGTATAACCTATGTCTGTGCTCCACTGTCGTCATTGACCTTATCCAGGTCTTTACTCTCCACCAGGTATTGAATAACTGTTCTACGGTACAATTGGTACATGTCTTGGCAAGAGTCAGGACATGTTTAAGATGTCTAATGGAACCATATTAAAATTTGAACCAATGATGTTTGAGATAATATATGAGATAGAGCACTCTTATTTTCTTGCATTGAAAGTTTGGTGTCATCTGCAAATTTGATCAGGATGCCCTTGAGTCCATCATCCAAGTCGTTGATAAAGATGTTGAATAAGACCGGGCCCAAGACAGAACCCTGTGGCACCCCACTAGTCACTCTTGTCCAGGATGAAGAGGAACCATTGATGAGCACCCTTTGGGTTCGGTCAGTCAGCCAGTTACAAATCCACTGAGTGGTAGCATAGTCCAGACCGCATTTTACCAGCTTCTTTACAAGAATATCATGGGGCACCTTGGCAAATGCCTTGCTGAAATCAAGGTAGGCTACATCCACTGCGTTCCCTTCATCTACCAGGCTTGTAATTCTGTCAAAAAACGAGATCAGGTTAGTCTGACAGGACTTATTTTTCAGAAATCCATGCTGACTATTGGTGATCACAGCATTCCTTTCTAGGTGCTCACAGAGTGTTTGCTTAATGATCTGCTCCAGAATCTTCCCTGGTATTGATGTCAGACTGACTGGGCGGTAATTATTTGGGTCCTCTCTTTTCCCCTTTTTGAAAATAGGGACAACATTTGCCCTCCTCCAGTCTGCCGGGACTTCGCCTGTTCTCCAGGAATTCTCAAAGATGACTGCCAGTGGTTCTGAGATCACATCTGCCAGTTCTTTTAATACTCTTGGATGCAGTTCATCTGGCCCTGGAGACTTGAATACATCTAAACTAGCCAAGTATTCTTGTACTATCTCCTTAGTTATTCTGGGCTGTGTTTCCTTTGCTGAATCATTTGCTCCAAATTCTTCAGGTCAGGCATTGTTTTCTTTATCGGAGAAGACTGAGGCAAACAAGGCATTGAGGAGTTCAGCCCTTTCTGTGTCCCCTGTTTGCATTTCACCATCTTCTCCTCTGAGTGACCCCACTGTTTCTTTGTTCTTCCTTTTGCTACGAACATACCCATAGAAGCCTTTTTTGTTGCTTTTAACCTCTCTGGAAGCCTGAGTTCATTCTGTGCTTTAGCTTTTCTGACTTTGTGTCTACACATGCTGGCTATTTGTTTGAATTCCTCTTTGGTGGTTTCCCCCTTTTCCATTTTTTGTACACATCCTTTTTTAATCTTAACTCAGTTAAAACTTCTTTAGATAGCCACCCTGGCTTCTTTAGGCACCTTCCATGTTTCCGTCTCATTGGTATTGCTTGACGTTGTGCTTTTAGTATCTCCCTCTTAACAAACTCCCAGCCATCATGAACTCCCTTTCCTTTTAGTATTACTGTCCATGGGATCTCACCCAGCACTTCCCTAAGTTTTATGAAGTCGGCTTTCTTAAAGTCAAGAAACTGAGTCCTAGTATGCTTGGCTGCTCCTTTCCGCTGTATAGTAAACTTCAGAAGAGCATGATCACTCGCGAGCATGGATCCAAACTACAAGAAAGAAGATTCCACCTAAACATTAGGAAGAACTTCCTGACAGTAAGAGCTGTTTGACAGTGGAATTTGCTGCCAAGGAGTGTGGTGGAGTCTTCTTCTTTGGAGGTCTTTAAGCAGAGGCTTGACAACTCGCGATCACATCTTTGGCTGGTTGTCAGGAAACGTTTTGTACTTTCAATTATTTAACCGGAGCAACAAAAATTAGTTTCTTCACTAATTTAAGACTCCTGAAATAAAGAAAGGTAGCCAGGAATGCATTTTTGCACAGTTCCAAATGCACAGACTGATCCACAAAGCAAAATCCACTTCATACAGAGGTTTGATGGCAAGAAAAGAGCAAACCTCTCAGAAAACCTAAGTTGAAATGGGGATTGGTTGTGCTCACGTTATGGCCTTCAATAGTAGCAAAAATATTCTTTAAGGGTTCTGTAGGAAGTTTTGTTGTTTAAGAACTCCAGTTGGAAGAGGAAGCAATAACACAGAAGAGCAATTATTTGTTTTGTTTCATTACTGTTTGTAATGAAGACTTTTCACCTATGTTGTACTTATTTGTTTACTTATTTTATAATAATGTTTATTTTTGTAATGTTGAATTTATTGTTAAATTTATGTGCTCATGCGCGCGCGCGCACACACACACACACATCTATGGTTAGTTATAATTGATTTGGGGTTTTCTATTTCCCCTCTGGCTTCCCTACGTGCAATTCTTAAATTCAGAGATTTCTGTGCTTAAAATAACTTTTGTACTTGAGCAGGAAGAAATGCTCAAGCGGTGAATGTCTCGATTTTCATCTGAGCAATGTCAGAGGGTATGGGATACAACTCCATCTTTCTCAGTACAATTTATTTTGTTGTTTCAACCATCATGGTCATTTTAACCATCACTACAAAGACATATATATTTATCATTACTATGCAGAATTCACATAGATACACCATTAAAAGACAGCGTTAGCCAATTTATACATACATGTATACAGTGGTATCTTGGGTTACAGATGCTTCAGGTTACAGACTCCACTAACCCAGAAATAGTACCTCAGGTTAAGAACTTTGCTTCAGGATGAGAACAGAAATCGTGCTCCGGCAGCGCAGCAGCAGCAGGAGCCCCCATTAGCTAAACTGGTGCTTCAGGTTAAGAACAGTTTCAGGTTAAGAACGGACCTCCAGAACGAATTAAGTTCTTAACCCAAGGTACCACTGTATCTTAAAATGCAACCAAAACACAAGAGTTTCTATATTTCATTGACGATCAGATCATTACAGTTCACCATATTATCCTTGAGGAACATTCTTCTGAGTTTTGGGGCAGCAACCGCAAATCTTCCACGTTGTTTGTCAGAAACATATCAAAGCCAGATCATGTTTCTAATTGATAGGAGTTAATCTTCTATAGGAATGATTTTCAACCAGTGTACCATGGCACCCTGGGGTGCCTTGACTGATGGTCAGGGGTACCATGGGCAACACTGGCCTCTGTCCCTCTTTCCTTCCCTCCCTCCTCTGATGGCCTCTTGTGTCTCTGCCTCCCAAAGGCTTGCACAGCTGTTTATTGCAGCAGCCCTGGCTACAAGCTCCCCAAGCGATTGGTGCCTCTAAGAGGCACCTTTCTTTGGAGTGGTGGGGGCAGCTCAGAGACCAGGGACAGCAGCAGCAGCTGCCCGGAGGACTCCCAAGGAGAGGGGAAAGGAGGCTGAGGGAACACTCCATAAGTGTTTCAAAAAGGGTGAGAGGCTGCCAGCTTTGCAAGGAAGGAGTGGAATAACTGGGCTCCTGAGCCCCACAGGGGTGCCACAGAAAGAATGTAGTTGGTTAAGGGAGCTGTTGACTAAAAAAGGTTGAAAACCTCTGCTATGTTGGAGTTTAATCCACGTTTCCTATCTGACCTTTAGTGGCCACAGCAAAGAAAAGCAATGTGGAAGGAGAATGAAGAAATGTTCCTCACTGAGCTCTAGCAACCTGACTGGAATTTCTTTTACATATGGAATTGGGGTACCTGGAGATGCTGGGAACTGCAAACGGGTCATTCACATATTTTGAACAGGATGTCAGCAACCATTTCCCCCCTATCACCAATTTAGTAAATTGTCTGTGGAAAGGGCAATCTCAGATTAAACAGGGAGAATATGGAAGCTAGTGCCAGTGACATTGTGTGGATGCTTCTCCCCTCCCCCAAAAAAAATCACTTTACAAAACAAAGGGCTTGCAGTAAAACTGGTAGTAATGACCATCAGTTTGGATGGCTTAAAAGGGGCTTTAGACAAGTTTGTAGGGAGTGGGGTTATCAATGGCTACTCGTTATGGTGGAGATTAGATAGATAGATAGATAGATAGATAGATAGATAGATAGATGATAGATAGTATCTAGAAGATGCAAAGATCACCCATGTTGAAGCAATGATTCTTCAACATCAACTTTGTTGGACTGGTCAAGTTGTTTGGATGCCTGTTTATCGTCTTCCAAAGCAACTACTCTACAGTGGTACCTCGGGTTAAGTGCTTAATTTGTTCCGGAGGTCTGTTCTTAACCTGAAACTGTTCTTAACCTGAAGCACCACTTTTGCTAATGGGGCCTCTTGCTGCCACCGCACTGCCGGAGCACAATTTCTGTTCTTATCCTGAAGCAAAGTTCTTACCCTGAAGCACTATTTCTGGGTTAGAGGAGTCTGTAACCTGAAGCGTATGTAACCTGAGGTACCCCTGTACTCCCAACTTAAGAATGGAAAGTGAAATGCTTTAAAGACACTCACAAGTCCAATCTAAAAATATATACGGTAGTATAAACACTGACAACTGGGAATCACTGGCGTGCAAGGGCTCCAATTGGAGAATAGTCTCTACCAAAGGCATCATAGACTTTGAAGAAGCATGAACTCAGGACAAAAGGGAGAAATGTGCTAAGAGGAAGGCACATTTGGCAAACCCTCGTTGTGCTCAGCTCCCGCCCAAAAACCTATGTCCCCACTGTGGAAGGATGTGCGGATCCAGAATTGGCCTCCACAGTCACTTACAGACACACTGCTAAGACAATATTCATGGAAGACAATCTTACTCAGTTACAAGTGATCACCAAAGAATATACAGTGGTGCCCCGCAAGACGAATGCCTCGCAAGACGGAAAAACCACTAGACGAAAGGGTTTTCCGTTTTGGAGTTGCTTCGCAGGACGAATTCCCCTATGGGCTTGCTTCGCAAGACGAAAATGTCTTGCGAGTCTTGAGATTTTTTTTTCGCTTTTCCCCCTTTATCTAATCTGCTAAGCCTTTAATAGCCTTTAATAGCCTTTTAGCAGCTAATCCCCTAAGCCTTTAAGCCTTTAATAGCCGCTAAACCGCTAATAGCGCTAATCCGTTAAGCCGCTAATAGGGTTGCTTCGCAAGACAAAAAAACCGCTAGACGAAGACTCTCGCGGAACGGATTAATTTCGTCTTGCGAGGCACCACTGTATAATGTCCCTAGGATCAAAGGCAACATCCTCTGAATACCGGTGTCTAAGGAGTGTTAGAGGGAGAAAGCTTTGCACTTATGACCTGTGGGTTTACTACTGCAGGAAACAGGGAATTGGTCTTGATAATCCAGGAGGGGACAGACTTTTCCAGTTCAAGGGCTGCATGAACAACCCTTCCAGAGATAGGACAAAGGTCAAAAGTGGTTGGTGTTGAATGGTTTCTTTAAATGTAAAGGTTCATCATTGTTCCACTCGATGTGTATGTCTTTAAGGGGCCAGAGCAAGGGCCAGAGCAAGGGCCAGCTTTACAGCTGTGAAACATAGCAGGTGCTGCTGAGTTGTATTGATTAAGCTGTGTCAGCAATTGGGTGTAGTATATAAGGAGCAGTACCTAGCTCTCCCATTATCCTGGGGGATGGGTTGGTGGTTGGGTCTGGTTTGTTGTTGATGTATTTAGTGTATAAGGAGTTTTTGTTATTAAAACCTTGTGTAAGTTATTTTTGAGTCCCTTTTTAATGCATGGTCTCCCCAGCAAGTTCTCTGCAGCGCTACCATACTGCAAATAGCCAATAGTTGGCGCAACAAATGTCATTCTGGCAATAAAAGGGTACTGTTTCAATATACACACACAACCCACACAGCTTTCTCCACCCAGTCAAGCAGGGCTGCTGAAGGGGGTGGCTGAATTCTTCTTGCTCCTGGGAGAAACCTTTTATCTGATCCAGCAGGACTGCTTTTATGTTCTTAACTTAACGTGTTATTCTAAGTTACTCAGCAGGCTGCTTCAAAGCTCGGGTTACACCCATAAGACCTAGAAAGGTGAATCAAAACTCTTATGTCCTTAGAGCAGTTTCAGAAACGTTCTGAGTGGCATAAGAACATAATCCTGGATAGCTCAGTTGGTTAGAACATGGGGCTGATAATGCTAAGCTTGCAAGCCTGATCCCCATATGGGACAGCTGCATACTCCTGCGTTGCAGGGGGTTGGACTAGATGATTCTCAGGGTCCCTTAAGTACATAAATCACATGTCCGAAATAGTACAGGAGAGCAATCCTGAAGCCATCTTGACTCTTAATGACACTAAATAATTCCTCTGCAGAAGGAAATATCTTGGAAAAAGCTCTCCCCATAGTTCTTTTCACTTACAAATCAATTGCGCATGAGTTTGCTTTCTTTCTCCTCCCTCCAATCCCTTTTCCCATCTTTGCAGTGGCTTCAGAGATCAGGGGTGGTGAACCTTCTCAGGAATATTTTAAGGGCCACATGGCTGCCAATTTGCTACAGACCAAGATTTGAGGATTTTTACTATTTGATAAACAGTTATGGTCGAATGCATAGGGTTGCCATGTTTTGAAGAGCAAAACAGAGGATGCTGTGATGGCCATTAAAAGCAAATAAAGGCAACTTGTATCAAATTTTACCCCTGAAAAAGAGGACGTGTCCTGGAAAAAGAGGACACATGACAACAGCAACGATACCAGTGCTGAATATCCCCTCTGTGGGCAAAGAAGGTTGTAGCAATGCAGCTCCACATATCCTCATAAGAAACAGATTAATTGGCTTCATTCCAGTCTGGCTTCAGGCCTAGCCATGGCACTGGAACTGCCTTGGTGACCCTGGCATTTGTTGTAAGAAAGATATAGGGAGTGTGATCCTCCTTGTTCTGACTGATTTCACAGCACCTTTGATACTGTTCACCAGTGTGGCTTTTCTAGAAAAAGAGATGCTGGAATTCACCAGTAATATCTCCCTTGTTCTCTTATAATGGAAATGGGGCCTACCTGAGAGGTGCTGGACCTGAGTTCTAGTGAGCTGCAGCTTAAAAAAAGTGCTGCTGTTGACCATGGTATGTTTTTGGAGCATATTAAGGAGGTGTGGGTTGGGTCACTGTGTGTCAATGATTCCACTCCTACCACCAAAGCCATTTTTTGAAACTACTTATGGGAGGTGGTTGGTGTTGACTTAAAGCAGAGTCTGTCGTGGCCAGCGGAAGGATGAAGAATACGTGCTCCATACTCCATATAGCTTTATTTACAGTTCAAAGCTGGTATATTACAGAAAGACATCTTGTCTCTGCAAGAGCAGAGAAATGCATCCTCTCTCCTCTCTCAGCTCGGAGAGAATCACACAGTGAAAAAACAGGAAACCAGTGTACGTCACATCCAGTCTCCCTTTCCCGTGAGAAACTCCAACAGTACAGACTGTGGAATGTAAACACCTGTCTTGTGACTGCAGTTGCTGCTCAGTGAGGGAAATAGAAACCAACATCCTCCCCATTTCTGTGAACATCACTGGGCAGCGTGTTCGTACAATATCAGTACAAACCCAACTTCTGCACATAGGTACAGTGTTGATCCCTTGATACAATCTTGGACAATACATCAGCAGGAATTTCATTACCTGGCATATAGGACACCGTTACGAGTCCCTTCTGAATACATTCCCTAGCATGCTGCAACTTTAATTGCAAGTGCTTTGTGCTTTGCTTACAACCTTCAGACTTCAGCAAAGCCAAACATGCTTTGTTGTCCTGGTAAACCTGGATTGGACATTTGACAGGAATTTTCATATCTTTGCACAATTGTACTAACCATTCACAATCCTTAAGTGAATAAGACAGTGCATTCAGTTCGGCTTCACAAGTACTTAAGCTAACTGTTGTTTGCTTCTTGCATGACCAATCAAACAGACTCTGATTGTACATATAGCAAACTCCAGACGTACTTTTCCTGTCTGTAGCGTCACTTCCAAAACTTGCATCTGCAAATATCTCAAGACCACCAGACTTCTGATTGTTAAATCTCAGTCTGTAATGCATAGTGCCTTTCAAATACCGCGCTATGCGTTTCAGAGCTTTCCAATCCTTGACACTAGGATTGTTGACTTGTCTGCTTAGCAAATTACAGCTAACAGCAATGTCTGGTCTTGAACATCTGGCAATGAAGTTTAGCTTGCCTAGCACACTCCTGTACAGTGTAGTGTCAGAAAATGCTTCTTCAGTGTCATCTACCTGATAACCTGTTGTCATCGGTGTGTCTACAGGGTTAGCATCCATCAGATTTAGTTTGCTTAACACATCAGCAATTTTCCGTGACTGGTGTACTAGAATGTTACCATCTTGATCTCTCTCTATTTCCAGAGATAGGTAGTTGTTTACCTCACCAAGATCTTTCATGTCAAAGTGCTCTTTCAGTTGAGCTAGGGCGCTATTGTACATTGCAACATCTTTCCAAAAGAATAATAAATCATCAACATAAAACAAACAGTACAGTTTCTTTTGCCCCTCCTCTTTGACAAATACACATGGATCAGCTTTCCTTGCTGAAAACCTAGAGAAAACAATACTTCAGTGAGTTTTGTGTGCCAACACCGTGCACTTTGTTTGAGACCATAAAGGGATTTCTTCAGAGCACAAACAAATCCCTGTTTTACCTGTACGCCATCAGGTGGAAGCATATAAAGTGATTCATCTAGAGATCCGTACAGAAAAGCTGTATTAATATCATGGTGACTAATGTGTAGATTTTCCTCTGCAGCTAGCTTAAGCATAAGCCTAATGCTTTCATATCTCACTGTGGGTGAATAGGTCTCGTGATAGTCTTCACCTGGTACCTGTGCAAAACCTCTGGCTACCAATCTGGCTTTGTGTCTGACTATCTTGCCATTTTGATCTGTCTTCGCTTTGAAGACCCATTTGCTTCCAAGCAGTTTCATTCCTGGAACTACTGGAACTAGCTCCCATGTTTTGTTCCTTTCTAAGGAATCAAGCTCAGCCTTCATGGCATTTAACCATGGCTCAGCTTCCTTTGAATCCAAACCCTGGATTTCTTGGAAACTTGAAGGTTCAAATACCTTCTTGGAGCTTTTAACAGCTGTTACTGCTATCGTAGCAAACTCATCAGCAAATCTCTTTGGAGGTTTGCCTTTTGTGGCTCTCTGTGACCTACGAATTAGCCTTAAGTCTTCAACACTCTCCTCTTCCTTCTTAGGAGAAAAACGACCTATTGTGAACAATGGTTCCTCCAATTCTTGATCAGAGCTTTCAGAGGGTCGCATAGAGGCTTTCGCACTCTTGAAATCCTCTGAATCACCCGATTCAGTTTCAGATTCAGACTCAGAACCTTCATCAGTGGGTGTGGGTTGTTGTGGTTGCTTTTGACTATCCTCAGTCTCATCACCGTCATCAGGATAACATTGGAAAATTCCCACATTCTCCCCCACTTTGCATTGTACTCAACACTTCTCGTGAGCTTAATTGTCTTAGAGTCAGTCATCATTATTCTGTAAGACCCTTTCTGATAACCTAGAAAGATACCATGCAATCCACGCTTGTCTAACTTGGAGTTTTGTGGTGAGCGAACCCACATGTCAGAACCAAAAATCTTCATGTGTTTGATGTATGGCTTCTTGCCAAACATCTTCTCATAGAGGTACATCCAATCGCTGAAGATAACCTGCGATTGTAACTGTAAACAAAACACGAGAGAGATTCGGCCCAATAACTCTCTGGAAGATTGGCATCATGCAGCAAGGTTTTTAAGCCTTGAAGCAATGTCTGATTTGCCTGCTCCGCAAGTCCATTCTGCCATGGCGAGCGAGGACTAGACAAATCGTGTTGAATTCCTTTCTCAGTCAGAAAAGCTTCAAACTGCTGAGAAGTGAATTCCCCCCCGCGATCACTGAAAAGAGTCTTTATCTTCTTACCATGCACATTTTCCAACCAAGCACAGAATTCCTTGAACCTAGGAAAAGCCTCTGATTTCTGCTTGAGATTGTACACAAAAATATATCTAGAAAATGCATCAATGAGAACCATGAAGTATCTATTTCCACCCAAAGAGGGCGATAGTGGTCCAACCAAATCAGCATGAACAACCTGGTATGGTTCTGTAGCTTTCCTACTAGACACCTTACCTTTCGCAGCCATTTTCACCTTGTTTGCTGCGCATGCTTTGCACTTCATGTGGTACCTGCAGGGTTTAATAGTCATACCTTCAACCAAGGCAGGCATTTTAGATACTGCCTCAAAATGCAAATGACCAAATTTGCGATGAAAATCGTGAATACATTCTGCATGCAAACTTTTGTTAGAACCTGCAATGCAACAAGTGTCATCCTGCACCACATCATCATAATACAAAACAAACAAATGATCAACATATTCTGCATGCAATACATAATCATTTTTCTTTGTGATGATGCACTTCTTGTTCTTGAAGGAAACGTCAATGTTCCGCTCATTCAGCTGTCCAACGCTGAGCAGATTATGTTTGGCGTCTGGCACGTAAAGCACATTCTGTATCGATAAGTCCAAACTGTGAAGAACAACAGTTCCGTAGCCTTTACTGGGAATAGTGTGGTCATCCGCCTGGTGAATCGCACCTTCCTGCGGTGTAAAAGACACAAACAGTTTCTTATCGTTGCACATGTGGTGGGTGGCCGCTGAATCAACAACGAAGAAAGATCTAGACGTCTTCTGGACCTCTGCAACCTTTGGAGTGAAGCGTGAAACCATAGCCTTGTGCTGCGTTGTCCTAGACACCGGACCTTTGCCTTTGCCTCGGCCTTTTCCGCGCGATGAGCTTTCGCTGCGCTGCTCTGTCTTGGCCCTGGGATGTCTGCATTCCCTCTTCATATGGCCTAGACGTCCACACGAGTAGCATTTCACTGCCTTCAAAGCTTTGGCGCCATCTGGTGGTTCCACTGCACTATGGGATGACGTCTGTGAAGACTCTCCCTTGCCCATGCAGCTAGCACCCCGGCGATCTGCTTCATTTAAAATCACGGCAGTAACAAAGTCCACTGTCAGCTGAGCAGTTGGTTGCACAGCAATCTGGGTTGCAACAGACTCCCAACCTGAACCCAAAGATTGTAGTATCATGAAAGAATACACAGCCTCTGGAAAGTTGAGTCCTCTCTGTTGCAGCTCATGTCTCAGATTTTGCATCTCCATCAGATGTAAACGCACATCTCCACCTTCAGCAAGAGCCATATTATGCAGCTTGTTAAAATAAAACATAGTTGATCCAGCTTCTGTCCTTAAATGAGCCTCTCTCAGAGCGTCCCAAATTTCTCTGGCTGAGGTCTTATCACGCAATAGACAGAGCTCTTCTGGGGATACTATCAATGTAAGAGTTCCCTTGCTTTGGAATCCTTAGCTTCCCATGCATCTGTAACTGGAACTGGGGGTTCCTGTAATCACCTCAAACAAACCCTCTTTCCGCAGAATTGCCTCTGCATACTGAACCCAGTCGCTGTAATTTTTCTTGTTGAGCTTAGGAATCCCACAAGCATCCTGAAGGGCCATCATGACTCTGGCATTAGCCTTCAGCGTCATATGCTGCTTTAAATCTTGCTGCGTCACTGCTGCAGCTGCTTCATTACAAAGGCACACTTAAAAGTTACTTTCGATTTCCCCAGCATAGTGACTTGTGCCTGGGAGCCTTTTGCCTATTCCCGGCAAAACCGGCTTTAAAAGTTCAAAGTCCAGCCATAAAGCCATTAACTTGAAGCTGGCAGGCTGCCCGGAGCAGTAGCACATACCTCATCAATCACTTCTACGCGCAGAGCAGATTCCGTTCCGATCTGTCCTCCTCTGCATTCCGATCCTCTGCCGGCACTCCGATTCGACCTCTGGAGCCCATAACCACGTGTTGATTTAAAGCAGAGTCTGTCGTGGCCAGCGGAAGGATGAAGAATACGTGCTCCATACTCCATATTGCTTTATTTACAGTTCCAAGCTGGTATATTACAGAAAGACATCTTGCCTCTGCAGGAGCAGAGAAATGCATCCTCTCTCCTCTCTCAGCTCGGAGAGAATCACACAGAGAAAAAACAGGAAACCAGTGTACGTCACATCCAGTCTCCCTTTCCCGTGAGAAAAACCAACAGTACAGACTGTGGAATGTAAACACCTGTCTTGTGACTGCAGATGCTGCTCAGTGAGGGAAATAGAAACCAACAGTTGGTGGCTTAAGAACTGGAATTAAGCCTGGTGGCTTAAGAACTGGAATTTCTGCTCCGTGTTATATGAACATCTCTATTAAGCTGGTGGGAGTTGTTATCAGGAGAGATGGTGTGAAGTATCATCTACATGTGGGTGATACCCATCTTTATCACTCCGTTGCATCTAAATTAAGAAAGGAAATTAAAGTGTTCGGCTGCGCCTTGGAGGTGCAGATGGTTAGGTCAAGCCCTAAATTCCACAAAGTAGGGAGATGACAACAAAGGTCCACCTTACCAACAAAGGTCCGTATAGTTAAAGCTATGATTTTCCCAGTAGTGATGTATGGAAGTGAGAGCTGGACCATAAAGAAGGCTGATCGCCGAAGAATTGATGCTTTTGAATTATGGTGCTGGAGGAGACTCTTGAGAGTCCCATGGACTGCAAGAAGATCAAACGTATCCATTCTTAAGGAAATCAGCCCTGAGTGCTCACTGGAAGGACAGATTGTGAAGCTGAGGCTCCAGTACTTTGGCCACCTCATGAGAAGAGTAGACTCCCTGGAAAAGACCCTGATGTTGGGAAAGATGGAGGGCACAAGGAGAAGGGGAAGACAGAGGACGAGATGGTTGGACAGTGTTCTCGAAGCTACAAACATGAGTCTGACCAAACTGCGGGAGGCAGTGGAAGACAGGAGTGCCTGGCGTGCTCTGGTCCATGGGGTCACGAAGAGTCGGACACGACTAAACGACTAAACAACAACAGGAAGATGCACTGTACTTTATAGGATGTTTCTGGTTCTGGACAGGGTGTGAGAAGACAACTCTTCCCTCTCCCATCCAACCCTGGTCACTTAGTACTTTGGATGAAGATCTGTTGATGGTGCCATGTATCCCTGCAGTAAAACATGGTGGGACTTGAGCATGTGCTTGGAGCACTCACATGCCAGTTCTTTGGAATCTCTTCCTTAAAAGTTAATTGGGCCCCAACACTGTTACATCTTTGATGCCATAGAGTCCTCTGAGCAGCACTACCTATGAATACAGCCCATGAATTGATAAAAAGCTTATAGAATCATACATCTGTAGTGCTGGAAGGGACGCATTGAGTCATCTAGGTCAACCACCTGCAATGCAGGAATCACACCTAAAAATCCCTAACAAGTTGCCATTCAACCTCTGCTGACAAAACTCCAATGAAGGAAAACCCACCACCTTCTAAGCTAATCTATTCCACAGTAGATCAGCTTGTACCCTCAGAAAGTTTTTTCCTCCTGTTTAGTCAGAATCTTCTCGCTGTTCATTTGAATCTATTGGTTCGAGTCCTACCCTCAGAAGTAGCAGAAAACAAGCTTGCTTCATCTCCCATGTGACAGCCCTTTATATATTTGAAGATGGCTACTAAATCACCTCTCCGTCCTCTTCTTCAAGCTAAACATATCCAACTGCATCAATGATTCCTTATAAGGCTTGGTTTCCAGACCCTTGATGAGCCTGACCTACTTCCTCTGCACAGATTCCAGCTCATCAATATCCTACTTAATTTGTGGCACCCAGAACTGGACACAGTCCTACTGGTCAGGTCTGGTTAAGATAAAATGGAGTGAAAGTGTTACTTCTCTTGATCTGGACCCTATAATTCTGTTGATTCAGCCTAGAATAGCATTAGGAGTGCAGATCTCCAGCCAACCTGTCTGTAGTAAAATGGAAGGGGAAATGTCTATATATATATATTAGTGAAAACAATATAGAAATGTGTTATATTAGAGCACATTGGTTCTAATCATGTGTATATTAGTCAAAACTCCATACAAAGTAAAAGTGTTTATTAGGAAAATTTCACACAAAAGTGCTGGTGAATTTTCATGAGCAATTCCCCACTGTCCCCAAGAACCACATATAACCACAGAATTGTAGAGAGCTGATTTATGACTGGAAAAGTGACAAAATGTCAGAAGCTAAAGTTGGCAGATTCTCCCTTCCTTATGAATGACCCATAAATTCAAGAAATTTCCTCTCATAGGTTTTTGACAAAGTCGATAATCCTGTTCATTAATTCAATTGCAGCAGGGACTGTGAAGACACCTGTGTCAAAGAGGTTTAGCACCCCATGAAACCCGTTCTCAACATGGAACCAGCTGACTTTCACCCCATTGTCCTCCAGACGTTTCTTGTACAGCAGTGTGTCATCTCGTAATACATCGTACTCGCAGCTCACAGTCAGGGTTTCAGGAAGCTTCTGAATGACAGAGTCCTCAGCAAAAAGGCAAGAAAAATCATCTTCTAATGTCTCTGATAATTGCCTATAGACTTCAGGTTCATAAGGAGCAAGTGGGACTTGTTTGTAGCCTCTTGCCTTAAATCTCTCTGGAATGTTGTCTGGACTCACCCACTTCCCATATTTCAGCCTCATTGAATCTGGCACATGAGAGCCCTTCAGGAGCTGCCCTGCCAAAGAAGTGTCTTTTCCAATATACTTCATTCCAAAGTAAGCAACGTTTTCCCGGAACAAGGGGGGCATTGAGCCATTCTGCTGATAGGAAGGCGTGTTGAGGTCCATAGCCTGGGAAGTCCCATAGATCAGTACTTGAGCCCGTAGTTTTGGAAGGTCTGATCTCTCCACCAGTTTCTGGGCAACAACAGTAGCATAATTGCCCCCCGCACTGTCCCCACCAACGATGATCTTAGAAGGATCCACCCCATGGGAAGCTGCATTTTGAATTAAGTGTATGGTAGCAGCAAGGCAGTCCTTGTACTGAGAGGGAGGAAGATGCTCAGGAGACAGGCGGTAGCTGCAGAATAAAACAGAAGCAAAGAGGTAAGCTTCCAGAAACTTTTCCCAACACATTCATAATCACATAAGGACACCAGAAGGGCCTGCTAGATCAGGCTCATGGCCATCTACTACAGCATTCTGTTCTCACCAGGTTCAAGCAGCTTCCTATGAGGCACCTGCAAGCAGGACCCAAACACAAGGCACTCTTCCCGCCTGTGGCTTCAAGCAACTGGTCTTCAGCAGCACTCCTGCAAGTATCCATGGACAGCCCTCCAAATTCTTCCTCAGGCATTACTATATACAGTGGTACCTCGGGTTAAGTACTTAATTCGCTCCGGAGGTCCGTTCTTAACCTGAAACTGTTCTTAATCTGAAGCACCACTTTAGCTAATGGGGCCTCCTGCTGCTGCTGTGCCGCCAGAGCACAATTTCTGTTCTCATCCTGAAGCAAAGTTCTTAACCCGAGGTACTATTTCTGGGTTAGCGGAGTCTGTAACCTGAAGCATATGTAACCCGAGGTACCACTGTATGTGGGATGTGCAACCCAACTGGGATGTACACCCAGGGCTATTTTTCTAGAAAAAGTAGTCCAGAAATATGGTCCAGAAATCTCCATGAATCATGAACACCTCCCTCATTCTCTTAGAATGGCAATGGTGCCCACCTGAGAGGTGCCAGAATCCACCTGAGTGGTGCTGGAACTGAGTTCCTGTGAGTTCCCCCTGAAAAAAAGCCCTGTGTACACCCCATCTGCAGATGGTTAACCTTTGAACTCATGCAGAATCCTCTTCAAGAGGTATTACCTCAGGTCAGGGACAAATTCCAGGCAGGTAACATCGAAGGATGAGGGCACAGGACAGGGTCCGTGATGTGGAAGTTAGACACTAACTAGACTCCCATTTGCAGGGTATGTGGAAGGCAGCCCTGAGTGCTTTGACCCTTTTATTAGTTCTCTTTTTCCTTCTATAAAAACTACACAAGACACACTCTTTTAACAATTAAATAACATATACCTTTTACTTCCAGACCCTCCAAATGTTCCTATTTTCCAGGGACATCCCTGATTTAGAGAAGCTGTCCTGGTTTCCACTTGGGACACGAGTTAATGGTGGTCGCTCCCCACTGCCCTCACATATTTATGAGGCAAAAAACCTGGCAATGTCCCTAGTGTGGTCTGGGGAGCTCACCGCATCCTGCTGTGCCACTTTAGCCTATGTCTGCCAACTTGAAAGGCAAAAAGGGTGTGACCCGGGAGTGTGTCCCTGCCATGGCTGAGCCTCCATTTTGGGCATGATTTATGGTTGGTTCCTCCTCAATTTGGAGTATTGATTAGAGGCAATTTGGAATATTGATTAGAGGCACTCCTGGACCGACATATGATAATGGGCTGCAATCAATCAGTTGCCGAAAGAATGGAGCTTGGCTCTTTGAAGGTATCTGAATGTTTTTTTTCCTGAAGCTTGAAAACCCACACAACAGCCAAGAAAGGAAGCGGGAGGACAAGGTGCTTTGTGCTTTCATATGGTTTCTAAATTGTCGTCTTTTTCTCATCCTCCCCTGTAAAATGAAAGAGACGTGCGTAGCCTTGGCTCTGTTATTCTGTCTGTCACCTCGGAAAAGAGGGGGGAGGCTTTTGATTTATGCTTAGCAGGAATTTAACATGGGTTTTTTTTATGCCCTCCCACCTCAACCGAGGTTGAATGGACTTTATTTAAAATTATATTTGGATTGGACCCAGGAGTGTGAGGGAGCAGTGTGGAGCAGGGAGAATGAATGGCTGCTGAATAGATCTGACAAGAGACTGAACTTGAGAAAATACTTTTTCTTTAACTGTTTGCCGAGGAAGAACTCCAGAGCGGAATGTTAATGGCAGAGATTGTTTATGTACTCTGTGAGTTATTTAGGCTGCAGCCAGTATGCTAGTTGGTGAACAGTGAAAGGAATGGAATGTGACCTCGTACCACCCAGATAAGCTGGCAAAGAACAGAACAAAGGAAGATAGTAATTAATTCTCTCAGCTCACCAGGTCTGAAACAACAATGTAAAAGAAGGACTACACACATGAAATGGATTATATATTTATAAGATGTAACAGAGGCACTGTTTGTAAGGAGGAAAAACCAGTCAGCTGCAAGGATGGACTAACGTCTAGTGAAGGATGACAACCGAACATTAAACAAGAGAAGATGCAGCTACGGGGAGGAATGATCGACACATGTTTGCAACAGGAGCGAGAAACCTGATTTTAAGAAATTGTATTAAATTTAAGGAATTTTGTCTGATTTGTAATAATTTGGAAAATTAATTTAATTTTTTTAAAAAAAATAGAGCAGCTGTCCAGGTTTCTGATTTGATCTCGTAATGTGCTGCTTTCCCTTAGGACATCCATACTTTCATTGGATAAATGTTGGAGGGTTTGGAGTTACCCAACTTCTGAGCTATCTGAAGGCAATCCTGTATAGGAAAGGTTTTATTATATTTTGTATATGTTGGAAGCTGCCCAGAGTGGCTGGGGTAACCCAGTAAGATGTGTGGGGTATAAAAAATAAAATCATCATTATGGAATGGGATGTCCCTATTTTCATCAGAGAAATGTTGGAGGGTATGTACTAAGTGCACTTGCAGTTGCAGCTAAAATATACAATGCAGGTGAATGCTTCTTAAATTGCTAATTCACAGTAACTGAATTACTGTGTCCCGAAATGATGCACACCTAAAAAGTATGTCACATAGATTAAACTGTTACAGACTAACCCTGAGGCAGACAGCAGAACAACAGTTCAACTGCTCTCATGTAAAAGACTGTTAATAGCTGCCGTACCAAGGGCCATAACTGCCATAACTGCCATAAGGTGTATGACATCAGAGAATTCTACAGCTCTTGCAATTAACCCTTTACATATATATGAATCTCTGATGCTAACATCCTAGAAAGGAAGGGTTTGGCCTGGTGGGGGGGAAGAGTGGCATTTGTGAGACCTGAGGGCAAGAGGCACAGCTGGGTGTGCAAGAGAGAAACATTTGAACCCTGGTTCTGAAGGGTCCACCCCCTGCTTCACACAGGTGTGTGAATCCTGCCCTTCCAACCACCAAATGCTGATTGACACAGTAAAAGGTCATAAAATACTACTAACAATAATTTAAAAAATCAAAACACAAGATAGCACAGATAAAACAATGCTCCGGAGGCAGAGAGTAGCTGGTGAATAAAACAGAAGCAGAGTTTTAAGCTTCCAGGATCTTTTCCAAACACATCCATGAGCACATAGGATTCCAAGAAAAGCCTGCTGGATCAGTTATAGCAGATACAATGCATGTGAAAGTCAGCTGGATCGTGCCCTTAAAAAACTGACTTTTCCAGCTAGCAAAAGAGCCAGGGAAGCAGAACCCTTCAGGATTGGATCCAGGTGGTGCAATACCATTTGCCACTTGCAACTTTCCCTCCCGCTTCTGTTTAGATGCAGGGGCGTGACCTCATTTACCTGTTCCTTCCTGACTCTAAATTTAATGAGAGATTTAGTTGCCATATGTCCAGATTTTCCCAGGCACATCCAGAATACAGCAATGTCAGGGCCCAAATCAGAAACAATGTCGGGGGAAATCTGAACATATGGCAGTCCATGTCAGCAGTGCTGTTTCTGCCATTTTCCCATAAAAATAGCTCAACAACTTTTCTGTCCGGATTTTCTCTGTTTGAAATATGGCAGCTCTATAAAAGCCCTAACTGAACATTATTAGCCCCATCTCTGAATTGATTGTAGGCTGGATCTGGGTTGGGTGGTCTCCAAGTTGAGGCTGATCTGGAGACCCTGGTTAGGGGTGCTGTGCGAGTCCTTATGCCCAGCTCATAGTCTCCCCACAGAACTGAGCATTTTCATGTCTTAGGTGCATGAGATCACAGAACAGAATGTTGATTGCTTCCGGGTTCCATTTCCGGTCTGCCTCAATGGAGGCAGCTCCCACAACAGCAGGAGATTGTTGGTGAAGAAGCAAACAAGGATGATTGAGAGTAATTATCCTTGCAAATCTCCCCCCCCCCGGGATGGGGGGAATGGGGTTCACTTGCAGTTTGTCTCGGTACCTGGCTCTCGCTCCAGCATGGAAAGCGAGAGGCAGGGAGGCGCTGAGTGCAAAAGCACTTCGCCTCCCAATAACCCTCCTATGCCGCCATTAAGAAGCAGAGGCTCTTCTGTTAATTAGAGTTTAATTTCGACTAATGTACAGACACGTGCTAGAAGAGATGAGATTGTACACTGCAGAATTGAAGCAGCTGCAAGTTCATTAATGTTTGAACTTGAAAGAAGACTTCATTTGGTGTAAAAGACGGCGGGGGGAGGGGAGCCTACGGCTTCTTTATATACAGTTTTATTCTATACATTTATGATTTGGCAGTTCTCCTTTGAAATGCTAGTTCAAATTATGGATGTACAGATGAAGACGGTGAAAACTGGATAGCAGCTATGGAATATAACATCAAATGGAACTGTGTGTGTAAAAAAAACCAAAAAGGAAAAAAGGGAGGGAAGCTCTATTTTGCAAAAGGTTTGTGATGGAAACTTAGAGCTGACTCCTCCCTATCCTTTATTATCCTCAGACTGAACTGAATAATGCTAAAAGGACTTGGAATTTAATTAAATTGGAAGCGTAATCGCTTAACTTCGGCTGAACGGAGGGATGAGAGGAATCTGTGAGCTTGCCAAGGAGTTGATAAGGTTCATTACTGAGTTATTTGAAGTTCAACAGCTTACTCTCCGTCCAAGGATGAGAGAAAAATGGCGAAAACAGGATATTTATTGGGACAGTGTGATGTGTGCAGCTGCTGCTAAAGTTGCAAAACAATGAAGCACAGGATGGAGCAATGGAGAACTTCTGAAACAACAATGGGACACTAGCTCTGCCCAAGGCATGATGGAGAACAGCAACAACTGGCAAAATATAGACATAATATTTTGCAAGGACAGGAAGAAACATTACAAACAGAATACCGTATTTTTTGCTCTATAAGTCTCACTTTTTCCCTCCTAAAAAGTAAGGGGAAATGTGTGTGCGTCCTATGGAGCGAATGCAGGCTGCGCAGCTATCACAGAAGCCAGAACAGCAAGAGGGATTGCTGCTTTCACTGCACAGCTATCCCTCTTGCTGTTCTGGCTTCGGAGGTTCAGAATATTTTTTTTCTTGTTTTCCTCCTCCAAAAACTAGGTGCGTCTTGTGGTCTGGTGCGTCTTATAGAGCGAAAAATACGGTAATTGCAACACACAGGAAGAACCAGTAGAGTGTTTGAATGCTTCACCTGTAGTTTATAAATAATTTAATGTGTCAATACAAATGGATGTCGTTAATTCTAGCACACAGGAGGGTACCTAAATTGTATAATTTGGCATCTGAATGATTAGTATTACTAATTGCATTATAATTTGGCATTGTTATAATAAAGTATTATATTGTAACTGAAAACTAATAAAAATTAATATTGGAATGTTGACAACTTTCACGGGGAGCCTTTCTCTCCTGCAAAGAATATGGCAAGGGATGCCATCAAAATACAGCAACATGCTGGGTGCAAAGCACACACACACACATTTTTCATTTGAAAGGATACGTGGTTGCATTTACTTACCCAACAGACACAACCACTGAATCACTCTCCTTGGCGATTTTGCTGCAGACATCTTGGTAGCACCCTAGCAAGATGAGAGGGAAATTTTAAATAGGGAGGTAATTATCTGCTGCCTCCAGTCTTGCCTTTAAAAGCACATTTTTGAACAGCAGTCTTCCGATATATAATGTATTTGTACATGCAATTTTCACTGACATAAACCCCCCAAATGCCCACCTCAAAAAACATTTCTCCAGTCAGCATGGTCAAAGGTCTGGGATCATGGCTCTTGCATTTCAGGAAGCAAGCTCTGTGAGGAGAACAGTATTCTCCCACCACCATAACAATATCAATGTCTCTAATAATAATAATAATAATAATAATAATAATAATAATAATTTATTATTTGTACCCTGCCCATCTGGCTGGGTTTCCCCAGCCACTCTGGGCGGCTTCCAACAAAGATGAAAAATACACTAAAATGTCACATATTAAAAACTTCCCTGAACAGGGCAAGCTCTCCTGAGTCCCCACTTGATTCTCGCCTTCCTTCCTCCTGAAGTTACTACTTTATAGGTAAAAAGGTAAAGGACCCCCTGGATGGTTAAGTCCAGATAAAGGTGACTATGGGGTGTGGCGCTCATCTCGCTTCAGGCTGAGGGAGATGGCGTTTGTCCACGGACAGCTTTCCGGGTCATGTGACCAGCATGACTAAAACCACTTCTGGTGCAATGGGATTACTAGGTTGCTACTTTATAAGCTGTTGCAACGCAATGTCACTGTGTTCTGTAGCCAAGAGTGTCAGTATTAATTGCTAACTTGTGAAATCGCATTTTGTTTTGCAAATGAAAGCTGGTGCAAGTGCAGTTTGTTGATTTGTTGACCTATTTAGCAAATGTGGGTGGGGTGGCTGTGGGGTGGGGTGAGGTGAGGGATAGGGTCAGGTGTAAATGAGGGGGTGGCCAGGGGAGGGAGGGCGGCTGGGTTAATAAACAGAGTGATCAGGAGCAGCAATTATTATATGCTGTATTGGGAAAAATATAAGCCGCACTCTCTTTCCAGATTCCGACTGTGAAAACTTAAAGTGCGGCTTAAATTCAAGACCTTACGAAAAATCCTTAATAGAGATGTGGGGTCTGGGAAGCCATGATAACAAGATCCTCCATTTGTTTGTTTCTTCCTGTTGACCTAAGTCAGCACAGGAAAAGGTAAAGGGACCCCTGACCATTAGGTCCAGTTGTGACTGACTCTGGGGTTGCGGCGCTCATATCGCTTTATTGGCCGAGGGAGCCGGCGTACAGCTTCCGGGTCATGTGGCCAGCATGACTAAGCTGCTTCTGGCGAAACAGAGCAGCACACAGAAACGCCGTTTACCTTCTCGCCAGAGCGGTACCTATTTATCTACTTGCACTTTGACGTGCTTTCGAACTGCTAGGTTGGCAGGAGCTGGGACCAAGCAACGGGAGCTCACCCCGTCGCAGGGATTTGAACTGACGACCTTCTGATTGGCAAGCCCTAGGCTCTGTGCCTTAACCGATAGCACCACCCGCAGCATATATGCATATAAATAAAAATAATCCAAAGCACATGTGTGCCCCTTGTCCCTTCAGGAACTACCACCAACATTCTTGTATCTCAGCCCAGTAAACCTCTCTTACATTGATATCTTAAGCACTTCTACCCAGAAAGGAAATTCCAGTAAACATTAGGAACACCTTTCTGATGGTGCGAGTTGTTCAACAGGGAATGGACTCCCTTGAAAGGTGGCAGGGCTTCTTCAGCTGTGATTCCTTCATTGCAGGGTGTTGGTCTACATGACCCCTTGGGATCCCTCCCAACTCTCCTTTTCCACGATTCTACATGGGCTTACTTGAGTTCAATGGCGCTTGCCTCTAGATAAGTGTTCACGGGCTGACAGCCTTAATCTCTTACCGATGCTTCCAATCATCCCAGCTCCTCCATGAAAGAACATAAATCCTTTCCTTGGGCCAGCAGATGGTGCTTTGGGCTGATAAACCCTCACAGGAACCCCGTCAAAATGCAGATCTTTGGCAGAGAGGCTGGGATCCACTCTTGGATTCCAGAACCTCTGGAGGAAGCGGATAAAGGCAAACTGGCTGCAGACACCCAGCAGTTCAAGACACTTCCCCTGTAGGGCAAAGGAACAGTCTCATGAAAATAGTGCCCACATTTGCATCCTATTCACAGGGAGTGGTATCCAAATAAGTCCTATTTAAAGTAGACCCATGGAAATGAATGAGTGCATGTTAGCCATGTCCATTAATTTCAATTTGTCTGCTTAGAATGGGACTATCATTAGAGGCAGCCCTGGGTCACAATAAGCGATCCAATGGTTTGGCTTGATGTCAAAACCCAAAAGCTTTCCTAAATCATGGTTTGCTTGGCCACCCCAACCCAAACACCAGCCAAGGTACAGAGACAAAAGAAGCTTTGGAGAAACAATCCACAATCTGCTTGCTTGCCTATGAGACCATATGTGCTTTCCTGAAGAAACCATGATGTAAACAAACCATATTATTAGTGTGAATAATATATTTCTCTCTATGTGTGTCCCTCTACAGGTTAAAAATAAAGCCCTTGTTAAATTTGATAATATCTTCATCTATCATCATCATCAAGTAAACTCATTGATTTTCCTCATTTCATGCTCTATTGTGCAGTATGCATATGAATTACTGAAATATATAAACTATTATTATTAAATAAATAAATTTGTATACTGGCCTTCATACAAAGATCAAAGGGTGGTTCGCAGAATAAAAATACTAGATAAAAACACAAAATACATAAAAAAAGAAGTGCAAAGCAAACCAAGAACACCTTTAAAAGATATAGAAGTGGTATATATAAAATATATAGAAGCCAAAAACATCCCTCCCTCAAACACATTTAAAAGGACTTAGAAATGTTTTTGCCTGACACCTAAAGATGTATTAAAGATTGCTAATTAGAATAAGAATAATTACATTTCTTAATCACCTTAATCACATAAGAACATAAGAACCTCTGGCTTCACTTGCTTCACCTGCTGCTGATCCAGCCCCCAATGTTAAAATGACTGTAAAACTATTGAAATGCATATAACTGAAAATCATAAAGAAAAAATTAAAGATGCTTCTTCTTCTTGTCGTCATCATCATCATCATTTCTTAATCACCTTTCACATAAGATCATAAGAATAACCTGCTGCATCACATAATGGCTCAACAAGTCCCCAACTTACCACAATGACCACCATAATGAGAGTCCAGTGAATGACCCGAAGCTTTAATGGACTGTCAAATCCAGATGGGATTTTACTCCTGGAAAGATCATAATAAATTGCAAAGGAGAGAAACAACAGGGAAAGAATCCCTATAACTCCAATCACCCCAAGCAGGAGGCCCAGAAGAAGCTCCATTTCACTGTTCCAAAGAGTGCAAGGGAAACATTGAGTCTACACTGGAAGAGTTTCTACTGTGTGGCTCCACCAGAGGTATCTACGCTGCTAAATAGGCTGTAGACCGGTTAATTAAGTAATTCCCAATTAGCACACATACTCCCATGCAGATATTTCATCCATCGGAACATCAACAGCAATTTCATGGCTCTTGGCAATGGTGCCATGTGATGTTCTACTCAGGAATGTTACATCCGGCCACTGATCAATCCAGTTCCATAGTATCTGTCCCAGAGCTCTTTGGCTTTACATACTATGTGTTCATTGCCTGAAGTTCACAACATCCGCAGCCAGCTTAAGCCTGTAGTCAGGAATGGTGGGAGTCCTTGTCCGAGGTGGCAGAGGACTTGTGTGCACTGCCTGGCCCAAGATTTCCAAGGCTTCAGAGACGAGTCTCATTCCTATCCAGAGATCTCAGGGATGGAACTTAAGCCCTTGCATATTCAAAGCATAGGCTCTTCTTCTGAGGTACAGGCCTCATAGCTAAATGCAAGTCCGTGTTGAGATGAAGTTTTCATTAAAATGTTTTCAGTAAAGATTTTCTTGGGTTACAAAAGCACATACATCGCCTCCGTTTTCTGATCATAATGTCCTTTTTACAGATTGCTTATATTCAATGTGAGCCTTAATCTTGTATACAGTATAAGGTTGGGGGAGAAGAGAAGTGTGGGGGAAGAGGAGGGGAAGAGGGAGTAATAAACCTTCATTCTTCTACATACTGTATGTGTAATGTTTTTGTATCCGTGTCATTTCATCGTTTCATATATTAGTTTTCCTTTTTATCGTTTTTATTTGATTTTTCAAATATACATTTACAACAAAACCAAATACATTTCATTTCTTTTATTAGTTTTCATTGACATTGAGAGAGGTTGGGTGAGGCATTCACAAAGTAAAGGAAGGATTGAACTCTGATTAATAAGAATGCACACAGAGGCTTCAACCAGCAAGACTCTGGGAAGGGTGCGTATAATAATCTCTGTCTCCCTCCACCCCTCAGCCCAGGTTTTATTCACAAAAGAACTTTTTACAGAGTGTTCATAAGAACCAATCAGATTTCTTCTGAGCATTTCAACACACCCCACGTGGGGACAAAGTTAAATCAAAAGAAATTCTTTTAACTACAAAGACTACTCTGAGCATGCATACATAATCTGAGAGTAAATAAAAGAGGACTAGAGAAACACCGGAGATCACAAACAGGAGTAAACAAGAGAGGATGGAAGGATGGCAGGAGATAGGCATCTTTATCACCTTCCTGTGAAACTATTTCCAGGCCCTAAGATCAACATCCTGAGATTAACATAGTGGGAAAGCTACATCAAAAGAAGCTTGCCCACTATCTTTGATGGCCCAGGATGCATGCCTGGCTAAGCAACTGGCAGTGTACGTGACTGGTCAAGAAAGAGAAATGGAACAGGAATGCAGAGGTGTGGATTGATCAAGAATCATGTCAAAATAGTTTAAACCCAGTCAACGCAATGCTTTCATTGCTGACACAGATGGCTTACTCTATATTTGTTATAATTCCTCATAGCAATCCCACCTGATCACTACAGTTGGGGGGCCTAGGGCATGGTAGGTTGCCTTCAGTTGACTGCCGTAAGTTTTGTTTATGTGTGTACAGGGAGGGTTGTTAGCCATATCAATTCAGATGCTCTTGGTGGTTTCTTCTTGTTATCTTGTTGGGCTGTGTATGTAATAAAAGGGAGCCACACCGGGGTGAAGGCGTCCTCTTTTATTTGTCCCCGTGTTAGTTTCAGTTTGTGGGTTAGTTTTTCTAGTAAGGGTGTTTTCCATACAGTTTGCTACCAGTGGTCCATGTTCACTCCTGACAGGTCCCTTCTGGTGTCTAGCTAAGATGCTTCTGGAAGCTGAGTGTAGGTGGGTTATAAGTTCTTTGTAGGTTGAGTGGGCATAATAGTCTTGGGAAATGTTCAATAGGACTAGTTCTGGGGTGACTTCTAATACCTGTTTATTTATTTTGCATATTTATTGTAGGGCTGATGTTCAAAAGTGTTGAATTTTGGGACAATCCCACCACATGTGAAGGTATGTGCCTGTAGATGTGCAACCTCCTGGGCCTATCAGTGCCAACTTATTTAGTGTTAAGTATCATCTATAGATAAGTTTCAAGATGAGTCCCCTTCTTTTGGATGAGATGGATTTAAGGGGAGGTTTAGACCATTGTTTAGCCCATTGGGTAGAGTTTGTTTCATAGCCTATGTCATGTTCCCATTGTTTTTTGATTGCATAGAGGGGGTCGGTGAGGTTCTGGAGCAGTATTTTGTATCTTGTGGATACCATTCCCTTGCCATGTCCCTCTGCTCTCAGGAGAAGGTTTTCGAAGGTGATAAAAGGCCTAGCGGCTGTTTCATTTTTACTGTTGGATTATTTAAGAAGGCATGTCATTGATAGAGTGTTAGCCAGAATACCCGGATGTCCTCTAGTTTGTCTTGTATCAGTGTGGGTTTGGTATTTGTGAAGAAGTCTGTTAGGCGATATACTTTTGGCCTTTGGCTTGCAAAGTTTTTATTTGGAAGTTTTGGGCTAAGTCATGGAATAGTGGATGGTGGAACAGCTCCAGTCATTTGGAAACTAGGAACTTAAATATAAAATAAACACCAGGGAGTACCTTTCAGGCAGTTAACAAGTATATTATGCAAAATTACAAAGAACACACTGTGGCGTTCGTACGGAGCCCCCGGTCGTCTCACAGACTATTGACCCGTACACCACTAATCCGCTGCCACCAACCAGGTCCTCCCTGGTAAAATCACTTCAGTCTCAGTCAGCTTTTCAATTAATAAAGAAGAGTGTATTTTATTTCAGACACAAACAAAACTTTTACAGCATTCCAAACATTGTTGCTCTTTACTTTTTTAGTCTTATTTTCCTCTCTCTATCTCTTCTACCTCCCCACACTCAAGAACCCACTGCCCTAACTGTCTCTCTATTCACAACTGCTTCTTCAACTGCCTTTCCCAACCAGCCAACCCACTAAAACCAACCAACTGCCCACCAACAACTCCCAACGAACGCCTCCCAGAACTAGTTTTATAGACCCACTGACTCCACCCCCTGGGTCCTGTCTGTGCAACCTATTTAACTATTTCCCTTCCAGCACTCTCTCATATATGTTAACGACACACACACCTTTTTGCATCTTTTTTTCTTTTAGTCTTCCTTCTCAAATTCTTCCTTTTTCCCCAAAGTAGGTTTTGTGTGCACTCAGTAAGCATACCTGATTGAGATGCTCCCCGGTCAACCTTTGCCAGGTCTTCACTCTCCAAAAGGTATCAAATGACCACTCTAAGGCACAAGTGGTGCATGACTGAGCAAGAGAGATGAGCAGAGCCTTGTTTGTGGTACAGCATTTCAATTTTAAATATTCTGATTATTTCTACTTTTAGTGAAATGTTTTTACATATCAGCTACTCCCTCCCTGTTTCATGTCATCTGCAAATCGTGTCATCTATCCCTTCATCTAAGTCATTAACAAAGACGCTGAAGAACAATGGGCCCAGGATTGAACCCTGTGACACCCAGCTTTTCACTTTTTTCCAGCTTTTCACTTTGGGTTCTGCAAGTCAAACAGCTACAAATTCACCTAACAGTAACATTGTCTAGCCCACATATTACCACTTTCTCTTCAAGGATAACAAAAAGTAGTTTAAAAAGCAGTAACTTGTTCCATCTGACCTGAATCTTTCAATATTCATCTCCATTGGATGTTCCCAAAGTTCTAGTATTATGGGAGGAAAACTGTTCCCCATCCATTTTCTCCACACTACACATCAGTTTATATACATCAGGCATACCCCTTCGATCTCTTTCTCTAAACTAAAATCCCTCAAACATTGTCCACTTTCCTTGTAGTGGAGTTCTTCCACCCCCTTGGTCATTTTGGTTGCCCATTTTTGGTACTTCTCCAACTCCTAAATATCCTTTTCAGGATGAGACAATCTAGAAATTAATCTATGGCCATTTATCATCAGTACGCGGATGATACCCAGCTCTACCTCGCTTTTAAATCGGAACCAGTAAATGGGGTGAAGGTCCTGAGTTAGTGTCTGGAAGCAGTTGGAGGATGGATGGTGGCTAACAGATTGAGGTTGAATCCTGACAAGACAGAAGAACTGTTTCTGGGGGACAAGGGGCAGGGGGGGTGGTGGACACCCTGGTCCTGAATGGGGTAACTGTGCCTCTGAAGGACTACGTGTGCAGCCTAGGAGTCATTTTGGACTCACAGCTGTCCATGGAGGTGCAGTTCAATTCTGTGTCCAGGGTAGCTGTCTACCAGCTCCATCTGATATGCAGGCTGAGACCCTACCTGCCAGTGGACTGCCTTGCCAGAGTGGTGCATGCTCTGGTTATCTCCCACTTGGACTACTGCAATGTGCTCTATGTGGGGCTACCTTTGAAGGTGACCCAGGAACTACAACTAATCCAGAATGCAGCAGCTACACTGGTGACTGGGAGTGGCCACTGAAACCACATAATACCAGTCCTGAAAGACCTACATTGGCTCCCAGCACATTTCCGGGCACAATTCAAAGTGTTGGTGCTGACCTTTAAAGCCGTAAACAGCCTCGGCCCAGTATACCTGAAGGAGTGTCTCCACCCCCATCATTCTGCCTGGACACTGAGGTCCAGCACTGAGGAACTTCTGGCAGATCCCTCACTGCAAGAAGCAAAGTTACAGGGAAACAGGAAGCAGGCCTTCTCGATAGTGGCGCCTGCCCTGTGGAATGCCCTCCCATCAGATGTCAAATAAATAAAAAACTATCAGACTTTTAGAACACATCTGAAGGCAGCCCTGTTTAGGGAAGATTTTAATATTTGAGGAATAATTGTATTTTAATATTCTGCTGGAAGCCACCCAGAGTGGCTGGGGAAATCCAGCCAGATTGGAGGGGTATAAATAATAATAATAATAATAATAATAATAATAATAATAATAATAATTGTTATTATTCAAAGCTATCTCTTCTGTCCTATTATTTTTGGGGAGGTGGGGGGATAAGAAGAGCGATTTGGATCCAGCCAATAGTCCATTCAGCCCAGCATCCAATTCACACACCATTCAACCAGATGCCTGTGGGAAACTTGCAAGCAGGACCTGAGCATAAGAAAATTTCTCATCCTGCTGCTTCCAGCAACTGCTATAAGGAAGCATCGCTGCCTCCCACTGTAGAAGAGTATAGCCTTCGTGTTTACCAGCCATTGATGACATGTAACTGCCTAGTCTAGAAGTCCAGGAACATAAAAGGCAGCAACCGGATTACTGGCTGCTGTTCTGTTTAGATATTGTATAGCTCCTCCTGTTTTCAAACACCTGCATGAGTTGCCAGTACATTTCTGGACCCAGTTGAAGGTGTTCAAGTTGGTGTTCACAGTCCCACGTGACTCAGGTCCCAAATACCTGCAAGACTGCCTCCTTCACAGTGCTGAGATTGCTCAGTTAGTAGAGAGAGAGAGAGAGACTCTGAATCTCAGGGTGGTGAGTTCGAGCCCCACGTTGGGTGAAAGATTCCTGCATGGCTGGGGGTTGGGCTGGATTACATTTCTCACTGCAATAGGAGAAGCTAGACATCCAATAAAGGCTATGGATTTACAGTGTTTTCGCATTTTTAAGATGCCTTGTGGAACCACATAAAAATTTGAAGCAATGTGAATCATCCGGTTCTATGAGATAGCATATCAGATAGAATCCTCTTATTTTGTTACATTGAACTGCTCACGGTTCATTGGCAACTGCATAACAAGTATTTCTATGAAGATCGGTAAATAATCGCTTAACATAATTTATTTATTTGGTTCATTTGCCACCTGTCAACAATATTGCACCTTGGGGTTAGCCTTCCAGATAGTGGGTGTCATTTAGACAAAATGATTTCATTGAAGGTAAATGCTTGTTGGTGAATATATAGGAAGGTGCCATACAGAGTTTTATGCCACATCTCTTTACAATTGTTGAAACTAGAATCTGGTGTTCCATGATATTTAAAGATCTCTATCGAGTTGCTGGGAGATGTTATCAGGAGAGATAGGGCGAGGGATCATCTACATGTGGGTGACACCCATCTCCATCACTCTGTTCCATCTAAATTAGGAAAGGCAGTGGAAGTGTTAGACTGTGCCTTGGATGGGCTAATGGATTAGATATGGGCCAATAAACTGAAACAGATACCTGAAAAGAGATAAAAGGGACCCATGGAGTCACCTAGGTCAACCACCTACAATGCAGGAATCACACCCAAAAATCCCTAACAGGTGACCATTAAGCTTCTGATGAAAAACTTCCAATGAAGGCGGTCCCACTGCCTTCTGAGCTAATCCATTCCAATGCTGATCAGCTCTAACACTCAGCAAGTTATTCCTAATGTATAGTCTGAATCTCCTTGCTTATCATTTGAATCCCTTGGTTCAAGTCCTACCCTCTGAAGTAGCAGAAAACAAGCTTGCTCCATCTCCCATGAGACAGCCCTGTATATATTTGAAGATGGCTACTATATCACCTCACTGTCCTCTTCTCCAAGCTAAACATATGCAACTGCATCAATGATTATTTATAAGGCTTGTTTTCCAGACCCTTGATCATCTTGGTCTTCCTCCTCTGTAGACATTCCAGCTCATCACTATCCTATTTAAATTGTGGAACCCAGAACTGGACATAGTCCTCCTGGTGGGGTCTGGTCAAGGCAAAATGGAGTGAAACTGTTACTTCTCTTGATCTGGAACTATACTTCTGTTGATACAGCCTAGAACAGCATTAGCAGTGCAGATCTCCAGCCAACAAATAAGTACTAAAATGGAATAGAAGGGTGAATTGTCCATTTACAAAATTCATATATTATTGAAAACAATATAGAAATGCATTATATTAGAGCAAATTGGTTGGAATTGTGTATTTATTAGTCAATACTCCATACGAAGTAAAAGTATTTATTACAAAAATTTCACACAAAAGTGCTGGTGAATTTTCATGAGGAATTCCCTGCTGCCCCCAAGAACCACAAATTACAACAGAATTGTGGAGAACTGAATATAAGATTGGAAAAATGAGAAACTATCAGTAGCTGAAGTTGGCAGAATCTCCCCTGCTTATGAATGACCCACAAATTCAAGAGATTTCCTCTCATATGTTTTTGACAAAGTCTACAATCCTGTCCATCAATTCAACTGCAGCAGGCAATGTGAACAGGCCTGCGTCAAAGAGATTTAGCACCCCATGAAACCCATTCTCAACATGGAACCAGCTGACTTTCACCCCATTGTCCCCCAGACGTTTCTTGTACAGCAGTGCATCATCTCGTAATACATCGTACTCGCAGCTCACAATTAGGGTTTCAGGAAGCTTCTGAATGACAGAGTCCTCAGCAAAAAGGCAAGAAATATCTGGTTCCAATAGCTCTCGCAATTGCCTATAGACTTCAGGTTTATAAGGAGCAAGTGGGACTTGTTTGTAGCCTCTCCCCTTAAATCTTTCTGGAATGTTGTCTGGACTCAACCACTTCCCATATTTCAGTCTCATTGAATCTGGCACATGACAGCCCTTCAGGAGCTGGCCTGCCAAAGAAGTGTTCTTTCCAATATACTTCATGATAAAGTAAGCAATGTTTTCCCGGAACAAGGGGGACATTGAGCTGTTCTGCTGATAGGAAGGCAGGTTGAAGTCTATAGCCTGGAATTTCCCATAGATCAGTACTTGAGCCCGTAGCTTTGGAAGGTCTGATCTATCCACCAATTTCTGGGCAACAACAGTAGCATAATTGCCCCCAGCACTATCCCCACCAACAATGATCTTAGAAGGATCCACCCCATTGGAAGCTGCATTTTGAATTAAGTGTATGGTGGCAGCAAGGCAGTCCTTGTACTGAGCGGGAGGAAGATGCTCAGGAGACAGGCGGCAGCTGCAGAATAAAACAGAAGCAAAGAGGTAAGCTTCCAGAAATTTTTCCCAACACATTCATGATCACATAAGGACACCAGAAGGGCCTGCTAGATCAAGCTCATGGCCATCTACTACAGCATTCTGTTCTCACCAGGTTCAAGCAGCTTCCTATGAGGCACCTGCAAGCAGGACCCAAACACAAGGTCCTCGTCCCGCCTGTGGCTTCCAGAAACTGGTCTTCAGCAGCACTCCTGCAAGTATCCATGGACTGCCCTCCAAATTCTTGCTCAAGCATTACTGTATATGTGGGATGTGCAACCCAACTGGGATGTACACTCAGTGCTATTTTTCTAGAAAAGAAGGTCCAGAAATCTCCATGAGTACCTCCCTCATTCTCTAAGATTGGCAACGATGCCCACCTAAGAGGTGCCAGAACCTACCTGAGAGGGGCTGGAACTGAATTCCTGTGAGTTCCCTCTGGAAAAAAACCCTGTGCAGATAGTGTACCTTCAAACACATGCGGAATCCTCTTCAAGAGCCATTACCTCAGGTCAAGGACACATTCCAGGCACATAAGATCAAAGGAGGAGGTCACAAGACAAGGTCAGTGATGTGGAAATTAGACACTAGTTCCCATTTGCAGAATATGCGGAAGGCAGCCCTTAGTGGTTTGACCCTTTTATTAATTCTCTTTTTCCTCCTATGAAAACTACTCAAGACACACTCTTTTAAAGTTTAAATAACAACTTTTACTTAAAGACCCTCTAAGTGTCCCTATTTTCCAGGGACATCCCTGTTTTAGGGAAGCTGATTGGGTATGGAATTACTCAACCCCTGAGCCGTCTGAAGGCAGTCCTGCATTAGAAATGTTTTTTTTTTTAAAAAAGTTTAATATTTTATTATATTTTGTATCTGTTGGAAGCTGCCCAGAGTGGCTGGGGCAACCCAGTAAGATTTGAGGAGTATAAATAATAAAATTATCATTATGGAATGGGCTATCCCTATTTTCATCAGCAAAATGTTGGAGGGTATTGTACTTAGTACACTTCCAGCTGCAGATTAAACATACAATGCAGGTGAATGTTTCTTAAATTGCGAATTCATCTTACATTAGAGCTACTCCCTGAACTGGAATGGGGTCAGTAATGTCCCAAAATGATGCACGTCTAAAAAGTGTGTCACATAGATTAAACTGTTACAGACTAACTAACCCTGAGACAGACAGCAGAACAACACTTCAGCTGCTCTCACACAAAAGACTGTTAATAGCTGTCACTGCCATACCAACTGCCATAACTGTCATAACTGCCACAGGGTGTCTGACGTCAGAGAGTTATACAACTCTTGCAATTAACCCTTTACATATATATGAATTTGGGATGCTAACATCCCAGAAAAGAAGGGTGTGGCCTGGGTAGGGGAGGAAGAAGGACATTCGGCTAACAGATTGAGGTTGAATCCTGACAAGACAGAAGTACTGTTTTGGGGGGACAGGAGATGGGCGGGTGTGGAGGACTCCCTGGTCCTGAATGGGGTAACTGTGCCCCTGAAGGACCAGGTGTGCAGCCTGGGAGTCATTTTGGACTCACAGCTGTCCATGGAGGCGCAGGTCAATTCTGTGTCCAGCGCAGCTGTTTATCAGCTCCATCAGGTACGCAGGCTGAGACCCTACCTGCCCGCAGACTGTCTCCCCAGAGTGGTGCATGCTCTAGTTATCTCTCACTTGGACTACTGCAATGCGCTTTATGTGGGGATACCTTTGAAGGTGTGATGGGATGATGAGCTGCTTGTGCGTAAAATAGTATCCCCTCAGAGTTTGTTCAAGTCCACAAACCTCTGTCTGTGACGGAGCCCTTCAGACATGGCTCCTCTAGTCACTAGCAGATTCCGACAGTGGTTGCTTTCGGAATCGCTTCCCACATAAAAGCTCCTTAACGGAAACACGTCTTCTGGACTCTCTGCGTGACAGTTTCCGGCGAGGAGTGGGTGTTCCTACAGGAGGTCCTGAAACCTCCCCACTGTTTTCGCTGGAAGTGTCTCTGAGCCATCCCTCCAGCTCACTTTCCCTCAGCTCAGCTCCTCTCCCCTACTGGTTCCCTCTTCAGCTGCTGAGTCTCTCCCAACCTGTGTGAGCCCTTTCACCTCCCTTCCTTCCGATGGCAGTTCCCTGACATCCACCTCCCCTCCAGGGCCCCTTTCACCCCCTCTCGCCCCCTCCTCTACGGGCGGTGAGGAGGCAAAACCCAGGAATGAACTTCCTTCATCTTCCGATGTCTCGAACACTTCTCTCCACCTGTTGCGGTTCCTGGTCTCGAAGTACTCCTCCTCCTCAGAGTCCATCTCCCCTTCCCCTTCCGAGTCCGGGAATCCTTCCAACTCCTCCTCCTCATCAGTGGTCCCAAAGTATTCCCTCCGGAACCTCTCCACAGGCTGAGGTTTCCTTGGGAACCTTTGATGGAACGTTTCTATCAATACCTCGTCATTGATATCTTCGGCCATTACCCAAGTGTTTTCTGACTCCGGTTCTCCTTCCCACGCTACCAAATACTCCACCTGATCCCCCTTCCACCTGGCGTCGAGGATTTCTGCCACATGGCTGCTGCATTCTCTTTCTTCTATGACCGGTCCCCAAGTGGCCATCCCTTCTCGTCCCCCTTCGTACGGTGACAGTAACGACCTGTGAAATACTGGGTGCAGTTTCATGTGGTTGGGTAACCGGAGCCTGAAAGCCACTGGGTTGACCTGTTGAATGACCTCAAAGGGACCCAACCTCCTGGGTCTTAATTTCTTACAACCTCCTTTGAACGGCAGCCCTTGGGTTGACAGCCACACCCTATCTCCCACCCTTATGGTTTCACCTTCCCTTCGGTTCTTGTCTGCCTGCCTCTTGTATTCTTCCTTCGCCCTTTCTAAGTTGAGTTGGAGCTGACGATGGATTGCTTCCATTTCTTCCACAAAATGCTCGGCTGCCGGGACGCTCCATCTCTCCCCATCTCCCCTGGGAAAGCCCTGGGATGACACCCATAATTAGCCAAGAAGGGCTCATCCCTGTGGACACATTCTCGGCATTGTTGTAGGCAAATTCCGCCAGCGCCAACTTTTCTACCCAGTCATTCTCTCTGTCATTGACATAACACCTCAGGTATTGCTGGAGGACACCGTTTGCTCTTTCCGCCTGCCCGTTGGTTTCAGGGTGCCGGGCAGTCGAAAAATTGACCTCCACCTGCAGTAAGCTCATGAGCTTCCTCCAGAACCTGGAAGTAAATTGTTTTCCTCGGTCTGAGACCACCCTCAATGGCACTCCGTGCAACCTAAAAATGTGTTCTACAAATAACTTCGCTGTCTCTTCCACCGTGACTGCATGCGAGCAAGCTACAAAGTGGCACATCTTTGTTAGTAGGTCTACCACCACCATGATGGCTGTTTTCCCTTTGGACTTCGGCAGATCAGTCATAAAATCTATCGACACTGCCTCCCAAGGTCGTTCTGGGGTTGGTAAGGGTTCTAATAGCCCCGCCGGCGCCCGCCTTTCCCCTTTGGCTCGCTGGCATTGCTCGCACCCTCTTACATACTCACGTACATCTTCCCTCACCTTAGGCCACCAAAATTCCCTGGTGACCAACCACATGGTTTTGTGTTGTCCAAAATGCCCCGCCGTAGGGCTGTCGTGCAACTGCTTGAGTACCCTCCCCTTAAGTCTCCTTCAGGGATATACAGTGCCCCTTTGTAATACAAAGCTCCATTTCTTTCCTCGAAACCCCCTGGTTCCTCTCCCTCACCCCTAAGACCTCTGAGCTTATTCTGGGCGTATTCATCATTCTCTGTTTCCTCTACCAGTTCTCTTTGTCCCACCAATGCCGCCCCACACACCCAGCGGTCCTCTGGAATGACATGTCTCTCTTCGGGTGCTCCCTCCCCTTCCAAATATTCAGGTTTGCGTGAGAGAGCGTCCGCCCTAATGTTCTCTGGGCCTGGCACGTAACCAATCTCAAAGTTAAATTTGGAGAACTCCTGGGCCCATCTCACTTGCCGTTGGTTGAGCACTCGTGCCGTCCTCCAATACTCTAGGTTCTTGTGGTCAGTGCACACTTGCACCTTATGTTGTGCGCCAATTAGCAGGTGCCTCCATCTCCGGAACGCCTCATGAATGGCTAGTAGTTCTCGGTCATACACCGTGTAGTTCCTCTCGGATTTGTTCAGCTTTCGCGAAAAAATTGAACACGGTCTCCACTCTGACTCCTCCTTCCCTGGCTGCAGCAGCACCGCCCCAATCGCTCTGTCTGATGCGTCAGTTTCCACTCTCATCGGTTTTTGTAAATCCACATGCAGGAGTTGTTGTTCCGAGGCGAAGGCCCTTTTAGTTCCTCAAATGCTCGCTCCGCCTCCTCAGTCCAAACGAACTTCTTCTTACTGCTGAGACAGTCCGTAATGGGCGCCGTCAGGTGGGCAAAGTTTCGGATGAACTTACGATAGAAGTTCCCAAATCCTAGGAACCTCTGCACATCCTTCCTTGTTTTGGGTGTTTTCCATTCCAGCACCGCCTGGACCTTGCCGGGATCCATGGCCAATCCCTTGTCTGACAGGCGATACCCCAGGAATTCCACCTCCTTGGTATGAAACTGACACTTCTCCAGTTTCACCCACAGCTGGTTGGCTTGCAGCCTGCTCAACACTTCTCTGACGTCTCTCACATGCTGCTCCTCATTCTCAGAATACACCAACACGTCGTCTAAAAGGCCACACAATTCTTGTAAAGCAAAGGCCCCAGGACGTGGTTCATAAACGATTGAAAGGTTGCGGAGCCTGCTTGTAGGCCGAAGGGCATAACCAAATATTCAAATGCCCCTAAAGGGGTGAACATGGTGGTTTTCCATTCATCCCCCTTCCTTATTCGTACCAGGTTGTACGCCCCCCTTAGGTCCAGCTTTGTGAAAATCTTTCCCTTCCGCACCCTTGTCAAAATGTCGTCAATCCTGGGCATAGGGAAGGCCACTGGTTCTGACACTGCATTTAAGGCCCTGAAGTCACACACCAGCCTCGGCTTGTTCGTGTTTTTATCCACAAAAACACTGGGCTGCCCCCACCGCCCTGGACTCTCTGATGAACCCTCTCTTCAGGTTCTTGTCAATGAACTCTCTTAGCTCCTGCATCTCTCTGTCTGACATGGCGTACAGCTTGCCTACAGGGAGCTGTGCCCCAGGGAGTAAATTGATTTGACAGTCAAAGGGTCTATGCGGGGGTAGTTGGTCAGCTTCCCTTTCGCTGAAGACGTCGCGGAGATCTGCGTATTGTCGTGGTACCTTCACGTTCTCCGTTACTTCAGTCCCTGCTAGGGTGGCTTGGGCCCCTGCCAAACCCTTTCCCTCTTTGCAGTGTTCTAAGCAATGTGCTGAACCAAAAGAAACCACTCTCTGATGCCAGCCCACCAGCGGATCATGTAACGCTAGCCAGCTCATCCCCAATATAATGGGAGCTCCTCCCAAGGTGGCCACATTAAACGCTATCAGTTCGGTGTGCCTTGCCACCTTCATTATCATTGGGACGGTCTGCAAGCTGACTTCTCCTCCCAACAGCTCCCTGCCATCGATCGTGGTCACCTGCAGGGGGTTGCTTAAAGGGATCGTCTGTATCTGGTGTTCAGCTGCAAACTCTTTGCTCATGAAATTGCAGGAGCTGCCTGAGTCCAACAGCGCCTTTATCTTTAGAGGGTGTCCGTTTGGCAGCTCTAGCGCCACTTCTATCACTAGGGCGGGTTTAGGAGGTTCTGGCGTGGGCACTCTCACTGCTCTTTGGCCTGGCTGCTGTGCCCCGACGGTGGCAGCCAGGCGTTGGCTTTACTTGCTCCGGTATTTCTTCCTCTCTTCCCTCCACAGCTCCTACCATCCCTTGCCATTCCTTCCTCTGGGGGCAGACTCTGGCAAAGTGACCTGGCTGTTGGCAGAGATAGCATTTCCGGGCACGTTTTCCCTCCTTCTTTCCCCCCTCACTGGGCTTTGAAACTGCGCGCGCGCGCAGTTCCGATTTCCATCGGCTCTGCCGGCGGGAAAGTTGGCTCTGGAATGTCTGGAATGCGGAACTCCTTCCAACGTTCCCCTTCCCTTCCCGCCTCTCCAATGCTCTCGCCTCCTGGCGCGCTCCTATGGTCAGCGCTGATTTGGTCAGCTGGTCCATAGACTCCGCCCTGGGCGCCCGGGAAAGTTCGTCTTTCACAGCCGAAGAAAGCCCTTCTTCAAAGAGCATTTGAATGGGTTCCGCCGATAAGTCCCACCCCAATCTGTGAACCAGCATGGTGAACTCAGTCCAGTACTCACGGACAGATCGGCTCCCTGTTTGCAAGCCATTAACTGTCTGCGCACCACTCCCTGTTCAATATCGCTGGAAAACATCAGATCCATGGCGCGAAAGAACTTCATCGTGTCCTTTAGGACGTCACTATTCGCTGCCATCAGGGGTCTAACCCAGTCTTTCGCCCCCTTTTCAAGATGCCCAATCACGAAAGCCACTCGTGATTCCTCGTCAGGGAATTCATCAAACTGCAGATTGAGGGCATATTGCATCTCTGTCCGAAAGCCATGATAGTCTTTGGGCTCCCCAAACTTCTGCACCAATCCTGGTACCTTTCTGGCGAGCTGGGTGGCTTCCCCTTTTTGTCTGCATCCTGAGCCCTCCTCTCCTCAAGCCTCGCCGTCTGCAGCGCTAGCTGGACCTCCAACACCCGGTACCTTTCTTCCAGGCTTGGACCCGCTCCAGCTCCTGCTTCTCCGGTTCCGGCTGGGTTGCTCATGATGCCTTCTCCTGCACAAGCTGCTTTCAAAGACTGTCGGAATGCTGTGATGGGATGATGAGCTGCTTGTGCGTAAAATAGTATCCCCTCAGAGTTTGTTCAAGTCCACAAACCTCTGTCTGTGACGGAGCCCTTCAGACATGGCTCCTCTAGTCACTAGCAGATTCCGACAGTGGTTGCTTCGGAAACGCTTCCAACATAAAGCTCCTTAACGGAAACACGTCTTCTGGACTCTCTGCGTGACAGTTTCCGGCGAGGAGTGGGTGTTCCTACAGGAGGTCCTGAAACCTCCCCACTGTTTTCGCTGGAAGTGTCTCTGAGCCATCCCTCCAGCTCACTTTCCCTCAGCTCAGCTCCTCTCCCCCTACTGGTTCCCTCTTCAGCTGCTGAGTCTCTCCCAACCTGTGTGAGCCCTTTCACCTCCCTTCCTTCCGATGGCAGTTCCCTGACAGAAGGTGACCCTGAAACTACAACTAATCCAGAATGCGGTAGCTAGACTGGTGACTGGGAGCGGCCGCCGAGACCATACAACACTGGGCTTGAAAGACCTACACTGGCTCCCAGTACGTTTCCGAGCACAATTCAAAGTGTTGATGCTGACCTTTAAAGCCCAAAACGGCCTCAGCCCAGTATACCTGAAGGAGCGTCTCCACCTCCATCATTCTGCCCAGACACTAAGGTCCAGCGCTGAGGGCCTTCTGGCGGTTCCTTCGCTACGAGAAGCCAAGTTACAGGGAACCAGGCAGAGGGCCTTCTCAGTAGTGGCACCTGCCCTGCGGAACGCCCTCCCACCAGATGTCAAAGAGAAAAATATCTACCAAACTTTTAGAAGACATCTGAAGGCAGCCCTGTTTAGGGAAGCTCTTAATGTTTAATAGGTTATTGTATTTTAGTGTTTTGTTGGTGTAGCCTTATGAGGCTTTGCCCTCGGGTGGGAAAAATATTGCGCCTGGGAAAGGGAAGTGGGAGTCAACAGACACTCAAGGAATAGTTTCGGAGAAAAAGGTTTTATTTCTACCATCCATGAACTGGTAGAAGGAGCAAGTGTGATAGTCCGCAAAAGCATGCACGAAGTTCACAGTCCTGTGCACAAGCATATATACCCCTTTCCAGTTCCCTCCTCCTTTCTCCTCCCTCAGAAGTCCTGCCCCATGAGTTCCTCTGAGCATGAACAGAAAGCTGTCTTGGGACTATTAGACTCTTCCCAGGAAAGGGGGAATGAGAAGCCGAGGGGGTGGGTCGAGGAGCCCTGGTGGTTCAGCATGTCCAAGATGTTGCATTCGTTTCCCAGGCCTGAGTATTCTTGGCAATGACAGAGCCTATATATTAGCCTTTAAAAGTAACATTTTGCCTTTTGCCACAGCATCTTGTGAGAAAAGCAGAGAAGAGCAGAGAAAAGCTGTTTTGGATTTTTAGAAGACAAAAGGAGTTTTGGACAGTTTTGAGGCCTGGTTGATTATTGAAGCCTGGGGTGATTTCACAGACAGGATTTGCATATCCTGTCCCTACATTGGAAGCCGCCCAGAGTGGCTGGGGAAGCCCACCCAGATGGGCAGGGTATAAATAAATTATTATTATTATTATTATTATTATTATTATTATTATTCGTGAGTCCTGAGGGCAAGAGGCACAGCTGACTGAGTGTGTGTGACATTTGAACCCTTGTTCTGAAGGGTCCACCCCCTGCTTCACATAGGTGTGTGCATCCAGTCCAGCCCTTCCAATGCTGATGGATCACCAAAAGCTGATTGACACAGTAAAAGGTCATAAAGACACACAAAAATAAAGACACAAGAGAGCACAGATAAACAATGATCAGGAGAGAGGCAGTAACTGGAGAATAAACAAGGCCTTATGCCCCCAAATGCCCACCTCAAAAAACATTTATCCAGTCAGCATGGTCAACGGTCAGGGATCATGGCTCTTGCATTTCAGGAAGCTAGATCTGCAAGGCACACAGTTGTCTCCCACCACCACCACCACAATATCAATGTCTCTAATAATGGCAAGCTCTCCTGAGTCCCCACTTGATTCTAGCCTTCCTTTCTCCTGAAGTTACTACTTTAGAGGTAAAAAGGTAAAGGACCCCTGGACAGTTAAGTCCAGTCAAAGGTGACTATAGGGTGTGCTGCTCATCTCGCTTCAGGCTGAGGGAGATGGCGTTTGTCCACAGACAGCTTTCCGGGTCATGTGACCAGCATGACTAAAACCACTTCTCGTGCAATGGGATTACTAGGTTGCTACTTTATAAGCTGTTGCAACACAATGTCAGTACCCAAGAGTGTCAGTATTAATTGCAAATGAAAGCTGGTGCAAGTGCAGGTTGGTGATTTGTGTTTGTGAAAGTTGACCTATTTGGCACAGGTGTGTGTGGTGGCTGTGGGGTGGGATGAGGTGGGGGATTTGGTGATCTGCAAACTTCAGGATGGCCAGGGGTGGGAGGATGGTTGGGTTGGTAAGCAGAGCGATCAGGAGCAGCAACCTCGAGTTATTATATGCATGTTTGTGAACCTCTTCGAGCTTCTATAAAATCAAGTGGTATATGTATTTTATAAAATGAATCAGCAGTGGGGGCTCTGTCCCTCCCCCAGCTCCCCTGATCCCCGACTACTGACCAGTGGAGATGTGAGACCTGGGAAGCCATGATAACAAGAGCCTCCATATTTTTTTCTTCCTGTTGAGCTAAGTAAGCAAATATGCATATAAATTAACATATGCTAATCCAAAATACATGTATGCCCCATCTCTCTTCAGGAACTACCACCAACACTTGTATCTCAGCCCTGTAAACCATTCCACATGGGTTTATTGAGTTCAATGGGGCTTAACCTTTCTGATGACAAGAGTTGCTCAACAGGGAGTGGACTCCCTTGGAAGGTGAGGGGCTCTCTTTGACTGGAGGTTTCAAAACAGAGGTTGGATGGCCATTTGTCAGGGCTTCTTCAGCTGTGATTCCTTCATTGCAGGGTGTTGGTCTACATGACCCCTTGGGATCCCTCCCAACTCTCCTATTCCACGATTCTACATGGGCTTACTTGAGTTCAATGGGGCTTGCCTCTAGATAAGTGTTCACAGGCTGACAGCCTTAATCTCTTACTGATGCTTCCAATCATCCCAGCTCCTCCATGAAAGAACATAAATACTTTCCTTGGGCCAGCAGATGGTGCTTTGGGCTGATAAACCCTCACAGGAACCCCGTCAAAATGCAGATCTTTTGCAGAGAGGCTGGGATCCACTCTTGGATTCCAGAAACTCTGGAGGAAGCGGATAAAGGCAACCTGTCTGCAGATACCCAGCAGTTCAAGACACTTCCCCTGTTGGGCAAAGGAAAAATCTCATTCAATAGTGCCCACATTTGCATCCTATTCACAGGGGGTGGTATCCAAATAAGTCCTATTTAAAGAAGCCCATGAAAATGAATGAGTCCATGTTAACCATGTCCATTAATTTCTATTGGTCAGCTTTGAATTGGTCACCCCAACCCAAACACCCGCCAAGGTACAGAGGCAAAAGAAGCTGGGAAACAAGCTAAACTTTGGAGAAACAATCCACAATCTCCTTGCTTGCCTATGAGGCAATATGTGCTTTCCTGAAGAAACCATGATGCAAACAAACCATGGCTTGGTGTGAATAATATATTTGTCTTTATGTGTGTCCCTCTATAGGTTGAAAAGGAAGCCCTTGTTGAATTTGATAATATCTTCATCACATCATCATCAAGTGAATTCATTGATTTTACTGATTTCATTATTCATGTTGGATTAAGCAGTATATGAATTACTTAAATATATAAACTGTTGTTATTATTATTAATTAAAAATACTGCCCTTCATGGAAGGATCAAAGGGTGGTTCACAGCATAAAAAAACAAGATAAAAACACAAAATACATAACAAAAACAAGCACAAAGCAAATCAATCACGCCTTTAAAATATATAGAAATGTTATACATAAAAGATATAGAAACTAATAACACCTCTCCCTCAAACAAATTTGAAAGGACTTAGAAATGTTTTTGCTTGGCATCTAAAGATGTGTAAAGATCACTAATAAGAATAAGAATAATGACGGCACATTTCTTAATCATCTTTCACATAAGAACATAAGAAGAACCACCACATAATCTCACATAATCAGAACATCAACAGCAATTTCATGGGTTTGGCAATGGAGCAAGGTGTGTTGTTCTACTCAGGAGTGTCAAGCCTGGCCACTGATCAATCCAGTTCCATAGTGTCTGTCCCAGAGCTCTTCGGCTTTACATACCGGGTGTTAATTGCCTGAAGTTCACAACATCCGCAGCCAGCTTAAGCCTGTAGTCAGGAATGGTGGGAGTCCTTGTCCGAGGTGGAAGAGGACTTGTGTGCACTGCCTGGCCCAAGATTTCCAAGGCTTCAGACACGAGTCCCATTCCTATCCAGAGATCTCAGGGATGGAACTTATGCCCTTGCATATTCAAAGCATAGGCTCTTCTTCTGAGGTACGGGCCTCATAGCTAAATGCAAGTCCGTGTTGAGATGAAGTTTTCATTAAAACGTTTTCAGTAAAGATTTTCTTGGGTTACAAAAGCACACACATCACCTCCGTTTTCTGATCATAATGTCCTTTTTACATATCAGTTAAATTCAATGTGAGCCTTAATCTTGTATACAGTATAAGGTTGGGGGAGAAGTGCGGGGGAAGAGGGTGGGGATAGGGAGTAGTAAACTTTCATTCTTCTACATACTGTATGCGCAGGGTTTCAAGGTGATTTCCCTTCTTTTGGATGAGATGGATTTAGAGGGAGGTTTAGACCATAGTTTAGACCTGCCCCTCTTGCTACGCCCATGTACCTGAGGCCAGATTCCAGATACGTTAGCATTCATTTATTTTTAAACCTCTGAGCCTCCAATCTGTCAGAACCAGGATGCTGGGTTAAAATGCATGAATGCCAAAGGAAGGGAAATCTCCTGAATGACATAGCTGTCCATAATTATGGCTCGTCATGATAAATGTTTTTTATTTTATTTTTATTTTTATTTTTGCAACGTATCTACTTTATTTAGAATTCAACAATAACAAAGGAAAAAACCACAGTAATTGTTACATCAACTCATTACAATTAACCGATTTTAACAATACAGTGGTACCTCGGGTTAAGAACTTAATTCATTCTGGAGGTCTGTTCTTAACCTGAAACTGTTCTTAACCTGAAGCACCACTTAGCTAATGGGGCCTCCAGCTGCCGCTGCGCGATTTCTGTTCTCATCCTGAAGCAAAGTGCTTAACCCAAGGTACTATTTCTGGGTTAGCAGAGTCTGTAACCTGAAGTGTCTGTAACCTGAAGAGTGTGTAACCCAAGGTACCACTGTATATAAATAGTAATAGAAAAATTACACATCACTTTTAACTTACTGAAGTTTTCATATTACACTTTTATCTCTTTAGCTCTTTCTAACAAATCAAAAAGAGAAAGGCCAAGAAAGGAGGCACAAAAAATAAAAGAGAAAGGAGGAAGAAAAGGGGGGGAAGAGGGGGCAGGAAAAAAGAAAGAAGGGGGAAAACACAAAATAAACACATTTGACTTACAATTAGACTCATTATATTATTATTTCTACTATTTTTTCACACACAGTTCCAAATTATTGTATTACTTTCTTTGTTTTCATCAGATATCAAAAACATTATATTTGTTTTTTCAAGGATCATTCTATTTCTGCCAGGAGATATTTATTACTGTAATGTTTTTCCAGATACTCTTTAAAGATTTTCCATTCTTTCTGTACTTTCTGTTTTGGATAACCTCTAATTCTCCCTGTTATCATGGCCATCTGTAAATATTCTATCCTTTGGACCTGCCACTCATTTATCGTAGGTGTTTTGTCACTTTTCCAGTTTCTTGCAATTAAGATCCTGGATGCTACTGTTGTGTATATAAAAAGTGGTCTACTGTAATTTCGTTTTTGATTTCTGATGACATTATTCCTAGGAGGAAGGTTTCTGGTTTTTTCTTAAATTAATAAATGCTTTTTTAAAAGGTACTGAACTTCAATATAGCCAGGAGGCAGAACAGAACTTTGAACCCTTCTAATTCTTTCCCTTATAGTCTTGCAATTAACAGGTCTTAAATGAGTTTTTGGTTGTTGTTGCTGCTGTTGCTGTTGTCTTCCACACACATCTCAGGGTGATTCACAAAACACAAAAGAAGGAGCAGCTTCAAACATTAAAAGATCAGAAAGCAAACTGCAGATTGCTGGAGTAAAAGCATGAGATTATTCCTCCCTAAGTGTAGAACCTTGCATTGAACTCTTTTGAAATTCATTTTGTTGGTTTTGGCCATATTTTCTAATCTGCTATGGTCCTGTTGAATCCTGATTCTATTAGCTACTCCCCTCCCTGTTTGGTGTCATCTGCAGATTGAATGAGCATCCTCTCAATTCCTTCATCCAAGTCATTTATAATGGCATTGGCAACAATGGGGCCAGGACAGAACCCTGTGGCACTCCACTTGTCACTTTTTTCCAGGATGCTGAAGAACCATTGGAGAGCACTCTTTGGGTTCTGCTAGTCAACCAGCTACAAATCCACCTAACAGTAACATTGTCTAGCCCACATATTACCACTTTCTCTTCAAGGAGATCAAAAAGTAGCTCAAGAAGCAGTAACTTGTTCCATATGACCTGAATCTTTCAACATTCTTCTCCATTGGATGTTCCCAAAGTTCTAGTATTATGGGAGGAAAACTGTTCCCCATCCATTTTCTCCAAACCACACATCAGTTTATATACATCAGTCATACCCCTTCTATCTCTTTCTCTAAACTAAAATCCCTCAAACATTGTCAATTTTCCTTGTAGTGGAGTTCTTCCACTCCCTTGGTCATTTTGGTTGCCCATTTTAGGTACTTCTCCAACTCCTAAATATCCTTTTCAGGATGAGGCAACCTAGAAATTAACCTATGACCATTTCTCATCAGTATGCGGATGATACCCAGCTCTACCTCTCTTTTAAATCGGAACCAGTAAATGGGGTGAAGGTCCTGTGTGAGTGTCTGGAGGCAGTTGGAGGATGGATGGCGGCTAACAGATTGAGGTTGAATCCTGACAAGACAGAAGTACTGTTTCTGGGGGACAGGGGGCGGGTGGGTGTGGTGGACACCCTGGTCCTGAATGGGGTAACTGTGCCTCTGAAGGACTATGTGTGCAGCCTAGGAGTCATTTTGGACTCACAGCTTTCCATGGAGGTGCAGGTCAATTCTGTGTCCAGGGTAGCTGTCTACGAGCTCCATCTGGTATGTAGGCTGAGGCCCTACCTGCCAGTGGACTGCCTTGCCAGAGTGGTGCATGCTCTGGTTATCTCCCGCTTGGACTACTGCAACGCGCTCTATGTGGGGCTACCTTTGAAGGTGACCCGGGAACTACAACTAATCCAGAATGCAACAGCTACACTGGTGACTGGGAGTGGCCACTGAGACCACATAACACCAGTCCTGAAAGACTTACATTGGCTCCCAGTACATTTCCGGGCACAATTCAAAGTGTTGGTGCTGACCTTTAAAGCCCTAAACAGCCTCGGCCCAGTATACCTGAAGGAGTGTCTCCACCCCCATCATTCTGCCTGGACACTGAGGTCCAGCACTGAGGAACTTCTGGCGGATCCCTCACTGCAAGAAGCAAAGTTACAGGGAAACAGGGAGAGGGCCTTCTCGATTGTGGCGCCTGCCCTGTGGAATGCCCTCCCATCAGATGTCAAAGAAATAAAAAACTATCAGACTTTTAGAAGACATCTGAAGGCAGCCCTGTTTAGGGAAGATTTTAATATTTGAGGAATAATTGTATTTTAATATTCTGCTGGAAGCCACCCAGAGTGGCTGGGGAAACCCAGCCAGATTGGAGGGGTATAAATAATCAACTTTATTATTATTATTCAAAGCTATCTCTTCTGTCCTATTATTTGTGGGGAGGTGGGGGGGGATAAACAGAGCCATTTGGATCCAGCCAATGGTCCATTCAGCCCAACATCCAATTCTCACACCATTCAGCTAGATGCCTGTGGGAAACATGCAAGCAGGACCTGAGCATAAGAAAATTTCTCATCCTGCTGCTTCCAGCAACTGCTATGAAGAAGCATTGCTGCCTCCCACTGTAGAAGAAGAGTATAGCTTTCATGGTTACCAGCCATTGATGACATGTAACTGCCTAGTCTAGAAGTCCAGGAGCAGAAAAGGCAGCAACCGTATTACTGGCTGCAGTTCTGCTTAGATATTGTATAACTCCTCCTGTTTTCAAACATCTGCATGAGTTGCCAGTACATTTCTGGACCCAGTTGAAGGTGTTCAGGTTGGTGTTCACAGTCCCATGTGACACAGGTCCCAAATACCTGCAAGACTGCCTCCTTCGCAGTGCTGAGATTGCTCAGTTAGTAGAGCGTGAGACTCTGAATCTCAGGGTGGTGGGTTCGAGCCCCACGTTGGGTGAAAGATTCCTGCATGGCTGGGAGTTGGGCTGGATTACATTTCTCATTGCAACAGGAGAATCTAGACATCCAATAAAGGCTATGGATTTACAGTGTTTTCGCATTTTTAAGATGCCTTGTGGAACCACATAAAAATTTGAAGCAATGTGAATCATCCAGTTCTATGAGATAGCATATGAGATAGAATCCTCTTATTTTGTTACATTGAACTGCTCACGGTTCATTGGCAACTGCATAACAAGTATTTCTATGAAGATCGGTAAATAATTGCTTAACATTATTTATTTATTCGGTTCATTTGCCACCTGTCAACAATATTGCACCTTGGGGTTAGCCTTCCAGATAGTGGGTGTCATTTAGATAAAATGATTTCATTGAAGGTAAATGCTTGTTGGTGAATGTATAGGAAGGTGCCATACAGAGTTTTATGTCACAACTGTTTACAATTGTTGAAACTGGAATTTGGTGTTTCATGGTATTTAAACATCTCTATCATGTTGCTGGGAGTTGTTATCAGGAGAGATAGGGCGAGGGATCATCTACATGTGGGTGACACCCATCTCCATCACTCTGTTCCATCTAAATTAGGAAAGGCAGTGGAAGTGTTAGACTGTGCCTTGGATGGGCTAATGGATTAGATATGGGCCAATAAACCGAAACAGATACCTGAAAAGAGATAAAAGGGACCCATGGAGTCATCTAGGTCAACCACCTACAATGCAGGAATTGAACCCAGAAATCCCTAACAGGTGACCATTAAACTTCTGATGAAAAACTTCCAATGAAGGCGGTCCCACTGCCTTCTGAGCTAATCCATTCCAATGCTAATCAGCTCTAACCCTTAGCAAGTTATTCCTAATGTATAGTCTGAATCCCTTGCTTATCATTTGAATCCCTTGGTTCAAATCCTACCCTCTGAAATAGCAGAAAACAAGCTAGCTCCATCTCCCATGTGACTGGCATTTACATATTTGAAGATGTGTGGCGCTGTGGGTTAAACCACAGAGCCTAGGACTTGCCGATCAGAAGGTTGGCGGCGGTTCGAATCCCCACAACAGGGTGAGCTCCCGTTGCTCGGTTCCTGCTCCTGCCAACCTAGCAGTTCAAAAGCACGTCAAAGTGCAAGTAGATAAATAGGTAGCGCTCCGGCGGGAAGGTAAATGGCATTTCCATGTGCTGCTCTGGTTTGCCAGAAGCGGCTTAGTCATGCTGGCCACATGACCCGGAAGCTGTACGCCGGCTCCCTCAGCCAATAAAGTGAGATGCGCGCCACAACCCCAGAGTCAGCCATGACTGGACCTAATGGTCAGGGGTCCCTTTAGCCTTACCTTACTATATAACCTCACTGTCCCCTTCTTCAAGCTAAACATATCCAACTGCATCAATGATTCCTTATAAGGCTTGGTTTCTAGACCCTTGATCATCTTGGTCTTCCTCCTCTCTACACATTCCAGCTCATCACTATCCTATTTAAATTGTGGCACCCAAACTGGACATAGTCCTCCTGGTGGGGTCTGGTCAAGCCAAAATGGTGTGGAACTGATACTTCTCTTGATCTGGACACTATACTTATCTTGATGCAACCTAGAACAGCATTAGCAGTGCAGATTTCCAGCCAACCAATAAGTACTAAAATGCAATAGAAGGGTGAATTGTCCATTTACAAAATTCATATCTTAATGAAAACAATTTGGAAATGCATTCTATTAGAGCAAATTGGTTGCAATTATGTATTTATTAGTCAATACTCCAAAAAAAGTAAAAGTGTTTATAAGGAAAATTTCACACAAAGGTGCTGGTAAATTTTCATGAGCAACTCCCTGCTGCCCCCAAGAACCACAAATTACAACAGAATTGTGGAGAACTAAATATAAGATTGGAAAAATGAGAAGCTATCAGTAGCTGAAGTTGGCAGATTCTCCCCTCCTTATGAATGACCAAATTCAAGAGATTTCCTCTCATAAGTTTTTGACAAAGTCTACAATCCTGTCCATCAATTCAACTGCAGCAGGCAATGTGAACAGGCCTGCGTCAAAGAGGTTTAGCACCCCATGAAATCCATTCTCAACATGGAACCAGCTGACTTTCACCCCATTGTCCTCCAGACGTTTCTTGTACAGCAGTGCATCATCTCATAATACATCGTACTCGCAGCTCACAATTAGGGTTTCAGGAAGCTTCTGGATGACAAAGTCTTCAGCAAAAAGGCAAGAAATATCTGGTTCCAATAGCTCTCGCAATTGCCTATAGACTTCAGGTTCATAAGGAGCAAGTGGGACGTGTTTGTAGCCTCTTGCCTTAAATCTTTCTGGAATGTTGTCCGGACTCAACCACTTCCCATATTTCAGTCTCATTTAATCTGGCACATGAGAGCCCTTCAGGAGCTGGCCTGCCAAAGAAGTGTTCTTTCCAATGTACTTCATGATAAAGTAAGCAACATCTTCCCGGAACAAGGGGGACATTGAGCTGTTCTGCTGATAGGAAGGCAGTTTGAAGTCTATAGCCTGGAATTTCCCATAGATCAGTACTTGAGCCCGTAGTTTTGGAAGGTCTGATCTATCCACCAGTTTCTGGGCAACAACAGTAGCATAATTGCCCCCCGCACTGTCCCCACCAACGATGATCTTGGAAGGATCCACCCCATGGGAAGCTGCATTTTGAATTAAGTGTATGGTAGCAGCAAGGCAGTCCTTGTACTGAGTGGGAGGAAGATGCTCAGGAGACAGGAGGTAGCTGCAGAATAAAACAGAAGCAAAGAGGTAAGCTTCCAGAATCTTTTCCAAACACATTCGTGATCACATAAGAACACCAGAAGGGCTTGCTAGATCAGGCTCATGGCCATCTACTACAGCATCCTGTTCTCACCAGGTCCAAGCAGCTTCCTATGAGGCACCTGCAAGCAGGGCCAAAGCACAAGGCCCTCTTCCCGCCTGTGGCTTCCAGAAACTGGTCTTCAGCAGCACTCCTGCAAGTATCCATGGACTGCCCTCCAAATTCTTGCTCAAGCATTACTGTATATGTGGGATGTGCAACCCAACTGGGATGTACACCCAGTGCTATTTTTCTAGGAATAAAAGGTCCAGAAATCTTCATGAGTACCTCCCTCATTCTCTAAGATTGGCAACGATGCCCACCTAAGAGGTGCCAGAACCTACCTGAGAGGTGCTGGAACTGAGTTCCCCCTGGAAAAAAGACCTGTGCAGATAGTGAACCATCAAACACATGCGGAATCCTCTTCAAGAGGCATTACCTCAGGTCAAGAACACATTCCAGGCACATAAGATCAAAGGGGGCCTTCTCAGTAGTGGCACCTGCCCTGCAGAACGCCCTCCCACCAGATGTCAATGAGAAAAATAACTACCAAACTTTTAGAAGACATCTGAAGGCAGCCCTGTTTAGGGAAGCTCTTAATGTTTAATAGGTTATTGTATTTTAGTGTTTTGTTGGAAGCAACCCAGAGTGGCTGGGGAAGCCCACCCAGATGGGCGGGGTGTAAATAATAAATTGTTGTTGTTGTTGTTGTTGTTGTTCGTGAGTCCTGAAGGCAAGAGGCACAGCTGACTGAATGTGTGTGACATTTGAACCCTGGTTCTGAAGGGTCCACCCCCTGCTTCACATACGTGTGTGTATCCAGCCCTTCCAATGCTGATGGATCACCAAAAGCTGATTGACACAGTAAAAGATCATAAAGACACAAAAAAATAAAGACACAAGGGAGCACAGATAAAACAATGCTCAGGAGACAGGCAGTAACTGGAGAATAAACAAGGCCTTATGCCCAGTTCGTAGTCCCCCCACGGAATGTCTTAGGTGCATGAAGCTCTGATTTGCAATCATGGAACAAAATGTTGACAGCTTTCATGGGGAGCCTTTTTCTCCTGTGAGGAATATGGCAAGGGATGCCACAAATAAATGCAACAACATAGAATCATAGAATCATAGAGTTGGAAGAGACCACAAGGGCCATCGAGTCCAACCACCTGCCAAGCAGGAAACACCATCAGAGCACTCCTGACATATGGTTGTCAAGCCTCTGCTTAAAGACCTCCAAAGAAGGAGACTCCATCACACTCCTTGGCAGCAAATTCCACTGTCGAACAGCTCTTACTGTCAGGAAGTTCTTCCTAATGTTTAGGTGGAATCTTCTTTCTTGTAGTTTGGATCCATTGCTCCGTGTCCGCTTCTCTGGAGCAGCAGAAAACAACCTTTCTCCCTCCTCTATGTGACATCCTTTTATATATTTGAACATGGCTATCATATCACCCCTTAACCTCCTCTTCTCCAGGCTAAACATGCCCAGCTCCCTTAGCCGTTCCTCATAAGGCATCGTTTCCAGGCCTTTGACCATTTTGGTTGCCCTCCTCTGGGCAGGTTCCAGTTTGTCAGTGTCCTTCTTGAACTGTGGTGCCCAGAACTAGACACAGTACTCCAGGTGAGGTGTGACCAGAGCAGAATACAGTGGCACTATTACTTCCCTTGATCTAGATGCTATACTCCTATTGATGCAGCCCAGAATTGCATTGGCTTTTTTAGCTGCCGCGTCACACTGTTGGCTCATGTCAAGTTTGTGATCAACCAAGACTCCTAGATCCTTTTCACATGTACTGCTCTCAAGCCAGGTGTCCCCATCTTGTATTTGTGCCTCTCATTTTTTTGCCCAAGTGCAATACTTTACATTTCTCCCTGTTAAAATTCATCTTGTTTGTTTTGGCCCAGTTCTCTAATCTGTCAAGGTCGTTTTGAAGTGTGATCCTATCCTCTGGAGTGTTAGCCACCCCTCCCAGTTTGGTGTCATCTGCAAATTTGATCAGGATGCCCTTGAGTCCATCATCCAAGTCGTTGATAAAGATGTTGAATAAGACCGGGCCCAAGACAGAACCCTGTGGCACCCCACTAGTCACTCTTCTCCAGGATGAAGAGGAACCATTGATGAGCACCCTTTGGGTTCGGTCAGTCAGCCAGTTACAAATCCGCTGAGTGGTAGCATAGTCCAGACTGCATTTTACCAGCTTCTTTACAAGAATATCATGGGGCACCTTGTCAAATGCCTTGCTGAAATCAAGGTAGGCTACATCCACTGCGTTCCCTTCATCTACCAGGCTTGTAATTCTGTCAAAAACGAGGTCAGGTTAGTCTGACATGACTTATTTTTCAGAAATCCATGCTGACTATTGGTGATCACAGCATTCCTTTCTAGGTGCTCACAGAGTGTTTGCTTAATGATCTGCTCCAGAATCTTCCCTGGTATTGATGTCAGACTGACTGGGCGGTAATTATGTGGGTCCTCTCTTTTCCCCTTTTTGAAAATAGGGACAACATTTGCCCTCCTCCAGTCTGCCGGGACTTCGCCTGTTCTTCAGGAATTCTCAAAGATGACTGCCAGTGGTTCTGAGATCACATCTGCCAGTTCTTTTAATACTCTTGGATGCAGTTCATCTGGCCCTGGAGACTTGAATACATCTAAACTAGCCAAGTATTCTTGTACTATCTCCTTAGTTATTCTGGGCTGTGTTTCCTCTGCTGAATCATTTGCTCCAAATTCTTCAGGTCAGGCATTGTTTTCTTTATCGGAGAAGACTGAGGCAAACAAGGCATTGAGGAGTTCAGCCCTTTCTGTGTCCCCTGTTTGCATTTCACCATCTTCTCCTCTGAGTGACCCCACTGTTTCTTTGTTCTTCCTTTTGCTACGAACATACCCATAAAAGCCTTTTTGTTGCTTTTAACCTCTCTAGCAAGCCTGAGTTCATTCTGTGCTTTAGCTTTTCTGACTTTGTGTCTACACGTGCTGGCTATTTGTTTGAATTCCTCTTTGGTGGTTTCCCCCCTTTTCCATTTTTTGTACACATCCTTTTTTAATCTTACCTCAGTTAAAAGTTCTTTAGATAGCCACCCTGGCTTCTTTAGGCACCTTCCATGTTTCCGTCTCATTGGTATTGCCTGACGTTGTGCTTTTAGTATCTCCCTCTTAACAAACTCCCAGCCATCATGAACTCCCTTTCCTTTTAGTATTACTGTCCATGGGATCTCACCCAGCACTTCCCTAAGTTTTATGAAGTCGGCTTTCTTAAAGTCAAGAAATTGAGTCCTAGTATGCTTGGCTGCTCCTTTCCGCTGTATAGTAAACTTCAGAAGAGCATGATCACTCGCGCCTAATGATCCTTCCACTTCTACCCCACTAACCAGGTCATCAACATTGGTTAGGACCAGATCTAAAATGGCTGTTCCTCTTGTTGCTTCTCCCACTTTCTGGACAATGAAGTTGTCTGCAAGGCCAGTGAGGAATCTCTTTGACCTTATGCTCTTGGCTGAGTTTGACATCCAACAAATATCCGGGTAATTGAAGTCCCCCATTACTACTATCTCCCTTCCTTTTGCATGCTTGGCCATCTGTTCCAGGAAGGCATCATCTATGTCCTCCGTTTGGCTTGTGGATCTATAGTAAACTCCCACAATGAGGTCACTGTTATTCTTCTCTCCCTTAATTTTGACCCAAATGCTCTCACTTTGGCTTTGAGGTTCTAAATCTTGGATCTCTTCACAGGTATACACATCCCTGACATATAACGCCACTCCTCCTCCTTTCTTGTCTGGTCTGTTTCTCTGAAATAGATTGTATCCCCCATTATTACATTCCAATCGTGGGACTTATCCCACCAGGTTTCAGTGATGCCTATTATGTCATATTTAGTTTGCTGTACCAAGAGCTCAAGCTCATCTTGTTTATTTCCCATGCTTTGCGCATTAGTGTACAGACATTGAAGTCCATTAATCATTCCCCGTGTCTCTTATTTAAGGATTTTTCCTCCCACCACTAGGTCTGCGTGCTGTTTGCTCCATTTGGTCTATGACATTTGGATGATCATCTTCATCAATTGATAGACTCCTACCTTCAGGAGCACTGTCTCCCTCCCCCACATTAGTCAGTTTAAAGCCCTCCTGATGAGGTTTCTGAGATTTTTGGCAAAAACATTCCTCCCAACCGTTGTGAGGTGCAGCCCATCGCTTGCCTGAAGTCCATCTTCAAGAAACTGCAGTCCGTGATCTTAGAATCCAAACCGTTCCTGTTTACACCATTTGCGAAGCCAGCTGTTCACTTCCACTATTTTTCCCTCTCTCCCTGGGCCACGTCGTTCAACTGGGAGGACAGATGAGATGACAATTTGTGCATTTAATTGCTTCAATTTCCTGCCCAGAGCCTCGTAGTCTCTTTTGATCTTCTGGAGGCTATTGCTTGCAGTGTCATTGGTTCCCACATGAACCAAGAGGAAGGGGTATTTGTCAGTGGGTTTTATGATTCCTTGCAGTCGTTCAGTTACATCTTGGATCTTAGCCCCGGGGAGACAGCACACTTCCCGAGACATCTTGTCAGGCCCACAGATCACTGCTTCTGTTACCCTGAGCAGGGAATCCCCTATCACCACTACACGCCTCCTCTTATGTTTGGTTGGGGTTCTTCCGTGAGCTGTCCATTCCAAGGTCGCCTGCACATTCCCTGAGGACTGACTTTGCTGCTCATCTTCATATACCTGATCGACTGTAATGAGGGAGAGATCCTCAAATGGAGTCTGCTCTTCGTCTTCCATGCTAGGGGAGAGGACCTCAAAGCGACTGTGTATTTCTAAACAGTCAGAGCGAACCCTGGGCCTCCTACTTCTTTGAGTCACGTTTCTCCATGTATCTGGCTCCTGTGTTGGTGAACTAGCCTCCTTCTGATACTTCTGTGATGCTTTTGGGTGGACTTTGGCTAAGGGGTTGGGCAATTTCTAAAGTCTTTAAAAGCTGTTACACACCTTTGTTTGGGGCCCTCACCTTGTCTCAAGGGAGGGATTCTGTTGAAACCGAAAAATAAAGGTTTTCCTTGCTTTCCTTCTACTGGTTCCTGCCTCCACCCATTTTCCTCCAGTTGATAATGGTTGTAGGAGACACTGAATCCCTTGATGGAGAGTTGGGCTGTAAAAGCCATCCTTAAATCTTTCTATCACACTAGTAGCCACGGATAGTCTTCTCCAAGAATGTGTCTTATCATCTTTTAAAGCCATCTAGGTTGGTGGCCATTTTATGGACCTCCATTGGAGTTGATAAATGGATTGCTTATACAGGCATCCCTCCATCATGCATGGATTGGGGGTGGGAGGGGTAGGTGGAACAGACACCTCAGGTGATGTAAGACGCCAAGGTGGCATCCTTTGGTACTCCACTGTCTTCACCAACAGCGGGGAAGCAGTACCACAATTGGCATTGATTTCCAGTGAGATCTCACCAAAATGACATGACCATAATTTTGGAGCATATCAAGGAGGTGTGGGTCACGGCACTGTGTTTCAATGGTTCCACTCCTACCACCAGAGCCATTTCTAGAAAGTAGTAGTGGGAGACCACTATTTGGTGCCATAGGAACTGGAATTTGGTGTTTCATGCTATTTAAAAATCTCTATCAAGCTGCTGGGAGGTGTTATCAAGAGAGATGATGTGAGGTATTATCTACACGTGGGTGACACCCATCTCTTATTCCCTATGCTGTTAAACATCTCTATTAAGCAGCTGGAAGTTGTTGTCAGGAGAGATAGCATCAGGGATCATCTACGTGTGGGTGACACCCATCTCTATCATTCTGTTCCATCTAAATTAAGAAAGGCAGGCAAAATGTGATCTACATGCCTTGGATGGGCTAATGAATTGGACATGGGCCAATAAACTGAAACAGATTCCTGAAAAGAGCTGAAAGGAGTCATTTAGGTTGACCACCTGCAATTCAGTAGAAGTGTTAGACCGCGCCTTGGATGGGCTAATGGATTAGATATGGGCCAATAAACTGAAACAGATACCTGAAAAGAGATAAAAGGGACCCATGGAGTCATCTAGGTCAACCACCTACATTGCAGGAATCACACCCAAAAATCCCTAACAGGTTGCCATTCAACTTCTGCTGACAAAACTTCCAACAAAGGAGGTTAAACCGCCTTCTGAGCTAATCCGTTCCAATGTTGATCAGCTCTAACCCTCAGAAAGTTATTCCTAATGTATAGTCTGAATCTCCTTGCTTATCATTTGAATCCCTTGGTTCAAGTCCTACCCTCTGAAGTAGCAGAAAACAAGCTTGCTCCATCTCCCATGTGACAGCCCTTTATATATTCGAAGATGGCTACTATATCACCTCTCTGTCCTCTTCTCTAGGCTAGACATACCCAACGGCATCAATGATTCCTTATAAGGCTTGGTTTCCAGACCCTTGATCAGCCTGATCTCCTTCCTCTGCACAAATTCCAGCTTATCAATTGTCCTATTTAAATTGTGGCGCCCAGAACTGGACATAGTCCTCCTGGTGGTCAAGGCAAAATGGAGTGAAACTGTTACTTCTCTTGATCTGGAACTATACTTCTGTTGATACAGCCTAGAACAGCATTAGCAGTGCAGATCTCCAGCCAACCAATAAATACTAAAATGGAAATAGAAGGTTGAGTTGTCCATTTACAAAATTCATATATAATGGTACCTCGGTTTTCAAATGTAATCCATTCCAGAAGACCGTTCGAGTTCGAAAACATTCGAAATCTGAAAACTCAGCACGGAAGCCTGAATACAGAAAACTCAAAACAGAAAACTCAATATGGAATCCACATGGCACGCCTTACTTCAGAGGCAAATTTGGAAACCAAAGCATTTACTCCATGGTTTATGGCATTTGAAAACAGAAATGTTCATCAACTGAGACGTTTGAAAACCGAGGTACCATTGTGCTAGTGAAAACAATAGAGAAATGCATTATATTAGAGCAAATGGCTTCGAATCATGTGTATATTAGTCAAAACTCCATATGAAGTAAAAGTATTTATTACGAAAATTTCACACTAAAATGTGCTGGTGAATTTTCATGAGGAATTCCCTGCTGCCCCCAAGAACCACATTTTGTTGCAGAAATATGGAGAAATGAATATAATATTGGGAAAATGAGAAACTATCAGAAGTTGAAGTTGGCAGATTCTCCCCTCCTTATGAATGACCCACAAATTCAAGAGATTTCCTCTCATAAGTTTTTGACAAAATCTATGATGCTGCCCATTAATTCAACTGCAGCGGGGAATGTGAAGACACCTGAGTCAAAGAGGCTTATCACCCCATGAAACCCATTCTCAACATGGAACCAGTTGACTTTCACCCCATGGTCCTCCAGACGTTTCTTGTATAGCAGTCCATCGTCTCGTATTATGTCGTACTCACAGCTCACAATTAGGGTTTCAGGAAGCTTCTGGATGACAGAGTCTTCAGCAAAAAGGCAAGAAATATCAGGTTCCAATAGCTCTCGCAATTGCCTATAGACTTCAGGTTTATAAGGAGCAAGTGGGACTTGTTTGTAGCCTCTCACCTTAAATCTCTCTGGAATGTTGTCTGGACTCAACCACTTCCCATATTTCAGCCTCATTGAATCTGGCACATGAGAGCCCTTCAGGACCTGGCCTGCCAAAGAAGTGTCCTTTCCAATATACTTCAGGCCAAAGTAAACAACGTTTTCCCGGAACAAGATGGGCATTGAGTTGTTCTGTTGATGACAAGGCAGGTTGATGTCCATAGCCTGTGTATTAGGATAGATGAGCACTTGAGCCCGTAGTTTTGGAAGGTCTGATCTCTCCACCAATTTCTGGGCAACAATACAAGCATAATTGCCCCCGCACTGTCCCCACCAATGATGATCTTGGAAGGATCCACCCCATGGGAAGCTGCATTTTGAATTAAGTGTATGGTAACAGCAAGGCAGTCCTTGTACTGAGCGGGAGGAAGATGCTCAGGAGACAGGCGGTAGCTGCAGAATAAAACAAAAGCAAAGAAGTAAGCTTCCAGAACCTTTTCCAAACACATTCATGATCACATAGGATTACAAGAATAGCCTGCTGGATCAGTTATAGCAGATACAATGCAGGTGAAAGTCAGCTGGCTTATGCCCTTAAAAAACTGACTTTACCAGCTAGCAAAAGAGTGTAGGGAACACTGGGTAAGCAGAACCATGCAGGATTGGATCCAGCTGGTGGAAGACCATTTGCAACTTTCCCTCCTGCTCCTGTTTAGATGCAGGGGGCAATTCCCAGGTTCTTCCTGATTGTATGTTTAAAAGCCCTAACTGAACTGGTTAGCTCTGATTTTCTTTCTTTCTTTTTTTTAAATGATATTTATTAAAGTTTCCATAAAAAATTAAACATAGAACATAAAAAAGAAATATACAATTCAAAAAATACACAATACATAATCCAAAAAAGAAAAAAAAGAACAAAAGACAAAAAAAAAACAGTTAAAAACAATATCACCTTTTCATCTCCATTTTTAGATTTACTTATTTTCTGGACCTCCTCATACCTCCATCTTTTGTATTCCAGTTCAAATTGTTTGTCCAGCAATTTCTTTCCCTCTGTTTTAATCCCAATCTTTAGTCTTAATATAATATAACATTAAAATTTTACCTCTTAAAAACCAAATTTCCATTTCCTTAAACTTTTTTAATCCTAATCCTTAATCTTAATCTATCTATAACTTTAAATCCTGTACAGCTGGAAGCCACTTATTTTCAATCCAACATCACTCTAACATTCTTTAATTTTGCAATGTTTCTGCAGATAGTCTTTGAATTTCTTCCAATCTTTCTCCACCGACTCTTCTCCCTGGTCACGGATTCTACCAGTCATTTCCGCCAGTTCCATATAGTCCATCAGTTTCATCTGCCATTCCTCCAGTGTGGGAAGCTCTTGTGTCTTCCAATACTTTGCAATGAGTATTCTTGCTGCTGTTGTTGCGTACATAAAGAAAGTTCTATCCTTTTGTATCACCATTTGGCCGGCTATGCCCAGGAGAGAGGCCTCTGGGTTGTTGGGGAAGGTATATTTAAATACCTTTTTAATTCATTATATATCATTTCCCAGAAAGCCTTAATCTTTGGGCACGTCCACCAAAGGTGAAAAAATGTACCTTCAGTTTCTTTACATTTCCAACATTTATTATCGGGCAAATGATAGATTTTTGCAAGCTTGACTGGAGTTACGTACCACCTGTATATCATTTTCATAATATTCTCTCTTAAGGCATTACATGCCGTAAATTTCATACCTGTGGTCCATAACTGTTCCCAGTCAGTGAACATAATGTTATGTCCAACGTCTTGTGCCCATTTAATCATAGCAGATTTCACCGTTTCATCTTGAGTATTCCATTTCAACAGCAAGTTATACATTCTTGACAAATTCTTAGTTTTGGGTTCTAACAGTTCAGTTTCTAATTTTGATTTTTCCACCTGGAAGCCAATTTTCTTGTCCAATTTAAATGCCTCCATTATCTGAAAATAATGAAGCCAGTCTCGCACTTTGTTTTTTAGTTTTTCAAAGCTCTGCAATTTCAGTCTATCTCCATCTTGTTCCAAAATTTCCCAATATTTCGGCCATTTGACCTCCATATTGAGCTTTCTCAAGGCTTTCACTTCCATTGGTGACAGCCACCTTGGGGTTTTGTTTTCTAATAAATCCTTGTATCTTATCCAT